CCCAAATCCTTTCAGTCACACTGCGACTCTGAAGCTTGTTTTCAGACTCGACCTGCTGGAGTTTATTAACATGAAGTAGATTCCAGCTGCTCTTCGACGCTACATTTCATTTCATAACAAGAAAATCCAAACATGAACACGAAAATATTCCCCTGCAAATCATCAGCACTAATTCAAAACTATTGTTTCATTTCTTTGTTAAAAATTAAGAAATTGATTTTGAACATTTTAAGGGATATTTCTGGAAATTTATGTTAAACAAAACACAGTTTCCAAACTAACAGCTAATATTTTGCTGTTGAATTTTATATTCTAAAGTGGAAATTTACAGCAAACAGAAACAACAAGATGCTTCACATCATAAACACATCAGAGACATTGCATTTCATCAAATGTCACTGTCAAAATCATCAACACAAATGAAATATGTTGACCAATTTAATATAAATTAAACTATAAACACCCAGCCACTTAAAAGCCGACTAGAGATTCATTTCCATTTCCTGAAATGAAAAGATATAGAAAAACATAATCAACTTCAAGAGTTTATGAAATCATTTGTTGTTGTTTTTTTTTCAAACCTGCAAAAATTAGTTTCAAACCTATAATAATTCACAGATCTATTTTCTACTGACACTAAACCATTTTGTCTGTGTTCAGTTTATTGTGTGTGTAAAACTTAAACAATAAAACAGTCGTTGCAGTTTTACTACAATTGATTTCATTTGAGCAGCAGCATCTCAGAGAGCGAGCAATAAATTGAAACCATCAGTAAAACGTATCTTTAGCTCCTGTTTCTGTCAGTCTCCTGATGTGAAACGAATGCAGCCAGAATGTCAACGTTAATCCGTTCCATCATGGTCGACGAGACAATGAAAATCATTACTGTAATTACTGCTGAAGGAAAAGAGCGGCGTCTGTAAGATTAGCAGATTTTACTAGCTGGTTGTGGCCTGGGTTCAGGTTTGGAGGCAAACCTGCCAGAGTGCTTTATGTCATGAAGCAGGAAGTGGGAAGGTGCATTTCTTTAAGACCAAGTCAGGCTTTAGGGAGCAAATCATTTCTAATGTGTTTATCTTCCTCAGTGGAGCCACAGGCTCCGAGGAAGAGGAGGAGGAGGAGGAGGAAGATGAGTCAGCATCACAAAACAGAAATGTTGGAGTGAAAAGCATCAGATCGACATGCTGTCCAGTTGTAAACTGTCTCTTCTCAATCTCCTGTCGTTTTTTTGCCTCTTCAGCATTTTGTTCCTAAAATCATCCCCTCCCCTCAGAAAGTGACCTGCAGCAGGAATAAAGTTCTCATTTCTTTAGGATCGACTTTCGCCTGGCGGCTGGCCGGCATCAAAGGAAACGCTGAAGTGGTTCTGACTCTTAATGTTTAAGCTTCTTATTTGTCAACTAGTTCAGCTTCAAAATGTTGATTTATAACCCCATCAAGAATGAAAACAACTTTAAAAATACATATAAAGATTCAAATTGTTGCGGTTTATTTTTGGGAGGCAGATTCTCTGTTTTTAACTTGCCTTTCAAACATTAAACATGAAAAGGATCGTCACAAAATCAGAACAAGACGAAGGAAGTTGATAAAAGGACCACAAGTCACAGCAGCAACCTTTTGTCACTGATTTTAACTTCTGTGGTGAAGTTTGTCTGGATGTGATGGTGGAACAGACTTTATTCCTAATTTAATAATTATGATGTATGATTTAAGTCCGTTGCAGAATTGTGACATATTTATCAGTAATGTAAAAGTCGGATGAAATGCGACATGATCATTCAAAACTATCGGAAATGTATTGGATTTCGTTCTATGTGTTGAAGTGGCTCCAGTTGGATTTTTTGTGGTGATAAGTTGGGAATTGGACGGTTCTGACTGCAATGTAAAAGTCGGTTAGAGGTTAGGGGTTAGGAGTTAGGGGTTAGGGTTAGGGGTTAGGGTTAGGGGTTAGGGGTTAGGGTTAACCCTTTGCAGATTATGGGCCAAAAGGGACGCATTCGACTTCTCTGTGAAATGAGCCTACAAGTCAAATTAATAAAACACATTTTTATTATATAATTAGGATCTGCTGACTATCATCATTATGATTTTATTGTTTTCTAGAAAAAGGGAAACCGTCTCACTATTTGGAAAATGTCTTTCGCTTTGGATAATTCTCGTATGAAAGTATGTCAGTCCTACAGATTCCTGTTGATCCTGTTGATCCTGCAGTCAGGATCCTGCAGCTCTTTTTCCATTTTCAGGTGCTCATGCATAATGCAGCAGGTCTCTTCATCAAAGTGGAAATGGCTGCCAGGCAAAGGGCAGGCCAAGGTTCACACACAGAGGAGCAACACGTCAGCATGGTCACTAAAACACATTTCTCTCCCATGTGGGTCAATAGTGTCGCTACAGATTATACTGTCCTGGTATTTGAATTAAAAACTTTTTTTTTATCTCTAAATGCATCTGCTTTCAGATGTTAAAAGAAAATCCGTTTCTTGTCCATCTGCTGTGGCAGATGAAAGATCATTTACATCCTGTGGGGAAAATCAGATCGAAACATCTGAAACATGCAAGGAAGTTAGATTTTAAGAAAACCACTTCCTGTTTGTTACACCAGAGATAATTCTTAGATTTCTGTTCGTATGCTGTGCTAACTGTTAGCTTCCTCAACTACGTTTTACTTCAGTTTTGAGTTTGATTGCTACGCAGCATTCTATTACAGAAACAGAAAAGTTTTGTTCTGATGGCAAATCAAAATATTAACTCTCAAATTTAATTCTTAGTTACACAGATCCACTAAAAGCTTTTTAAGTGTTCATCTCCAAACAAAAGCAGAATTACTTTGGAATTGCAAATGGAGGTGAGTCATAACCTTTCATTTTAAAAATGTGCAACTATTAGAAACATTTCTAATACCACAAACATCTTGCTGAGATATTTAGTTTGATGCTGGATAAACATAGTTGATAAAATGCTGGTTTTCTGTCCTTACATGTGAAATACAAAGTGTTTGTGATAAAGTGCTGCTGCTGCTGCCAGAGTCTCAATATGCAAAAGTTACAAGTTAATATACAGCATAATGTTAACAATGAGCATAAAAGTGGAGTTTCCAAACTGTCCTTAATCAGAGATCTGAACTGGAACGAGACTCTGTGGGAACCTGCAGCAGCCAGTCGGGACTCAAACACTTCTAGAAACCATTTTCAAGTCAATCATCCTGGATGGTTTTGCTTTGATGAATTTATCAGCGTTATGCTGATGGGATGAATGTTTTTCTGCAAAAATGAAAGAAAACATTAAAGGTTCTGGGACTGAACTTTAACTAGGACTTTGGGATATTCAGATGGATTCATGAGGAGTAAAATTTATTTACCTGTTTTATTTTTATATCTCTTATGCTGTGAAAGTTATATAAATATGTCTCTTAGAGGTTTGTTAGTTCAATTTTGATAGTTTTGCAAAAAAGCATTGAAAGCTGACATGATTGTGTTGTTTTAGATTTTGTACAATTTGTCTGTATATTGTTTTATTTATCAGAGTTTTGGTTTACTTTCTCTTGGTTAGTGTGGCTTGTTAGTCAAAGTTATGTCAGATTTGGTCTCTTGACGTTTATTGCTTTGATTGCTCAGTTTAATATTTCCATGTCTTCTATTTTCTGCAGCTTTTGTTGCATTACTTGGCTTCGCTTTATGTTAAATCCTGATTATGTTTGTTGTTTAATCTCACCTGTTTCTTCTAGAGTAATCAACTTGTTTTGCATCTTTCTTTTGATCATTCTAGAAAAGGAATGGATTTATTTTTACTGTGTATATTAAGTGCAGATTTAGTGATATAATTCAGATAGAAAATATGTAAAAACATTATGTGGCAATTTTCATAAAATTTCATTTTTGGACAAAACTTTTGAAATTTTTGATAAATTTTATATTTTTCTTTAACCCAAATGTTAGATAATTTTACTTTGACCAAACAATTTTTGCCCATTATCGACAGATGACGTCTGGTGAAGCAGAAACTTTTCCACCATTCTGACCAGGTTAATGCCCAGACTTTAACTGACTTCTGCCACTTTTATCTTCTTCTTCTCTCCTTTAATGTGCCAAAATATTTTTTCCCACTTTTTCTAAATTAAAGTCAACTGCAAGCAGTTTTTATCAGAGCGTAATCTCGCCTTGATATTGGACCGCAGCCGAATTATGACTCAGACACATCAGCAGTGGGCCGTCGTTATAATAATTGTGTCCAGACTTCTCGCTGCGCTGGACTCCGATGCCGCACGCCAACCTGCAGCAACACAAACTCATTTCCCTCCGGGTTTGAGCTGCGGTGCCTCTAAAATAGACCCCACCATTTCCTACTTAATATGCGATTAGAGACCATTTGCAAAAGTAATCTAATGAAAAGGGACAGGAAACTCGCAGAGGTAATTTTGTGTAATCAAGATCTCAGTGTTTCTCTCTGTGGGTCGACTGGTTGATAAAACACAAGAAATCTGAAATAAATACCTTCAGGATGACAGTCAGCCTTAAATAAAACAAATGTTTTGGGAGGATCTGAACTGAATCTGATAGAAATTAATTAGGGTGATGGCAAAGAGTGTTTCCAAACACTTATTAAGAAGCTGTCAAAATTTCAGAGTAAAACTGCAAGAAATCTTATCAACATGTATAATCACATTGCTGTGATGTGATTAATTTCTGCTGCTGGGATGAATTAATTTCAATAAAAACTGATTTTTTTATCCTTTCAAAAATAAATTTACTAGTGTAGTAATTAAACTCTAATTACCTCTCGTTTGAGATTGCATAGATTAAATTAAATTAAGTTAAATTAGTGTTAAATGCAACTGAAGTGTACAAGGAAATATATACTGCTTTATTATTATGATTTAAAAGTAGTTTTGTTCTATTGGTTTTAGTGAAATTATTAAAAAGTAAAACTTTTTGCCCCCTTGTTTTCCTGATAAAATGATCTTTTGCATCTTTATTAATTTTGTGTTTTTCTGTTTCTAACAGGACAGTTTTCCTGCGAGGTTCGGAGGGATCCACTTTGTGAACCAGCCCTGGTACATCCACGCCCTCTACACGGTGATCCGACCCTTCCTCAAAGACAAGACCAGGAAAAGGGTCAGACCAGAGGCTTAATGAAACTCTGCACTGTCAACTATCAGCAATAACTCACAAACAATCTGACTCTTCAACAGTTTGCTTTCCACACACTGCAGCAGTTATTAATATTCTGTTTTATTCAAGATTGTATTTCTGTTATGATCAAAAACCTAAACCCAGTGAAGGACCGGTCGTGTGAACACTGCACCGTCTCGTCGCTCATTGTTTGCAGCTCTGACAGAGGAGAAGCAAATTGCTTTTTTTAGGTCAGCAACTGCTGGCACTTATTAATCTGGGAAGGGTTACAAGGTCATTGTCAAACAATGTGAAAGGCCTCACAATGCAGGGAAACAGAAAAACCTTTAACACGGCCACAAATCTCTCCAAGAGCAAAAACTCCAGCAAATTCTCAGAAAGAAAAGAGAAACTTTAAAAAAAAACCAAGAGCTTCATCTTAGATCCTACAGACTTCAATAAGGATGTTAAATGTTAAAGTTCATTACGACACATTGAATAAAAATGTAATAAACATCGTAGCATTGTAGTTGTTAAGTAAATTAAGTTATTTTGCATTATAAATGAACAGCAAATAGATGCTAGCTTTGATTCCTCTTCTTTCTTTTATAATTCAGACCACCAGAGTCAAACATTTACTCTAAAAACAAATCTTAGGAGATTTCCAGTCCTGCATTTCTTTCCTTTTTGCAGATTTTCATGCACGGTAACAACCTGAACAGCCTCCACCAGCTGATCCACCCGGAGATCCTGCCGTCTGAGCTGGGTGGGATGATGCCGCCGTACGATATGGGGACGTGGGCGCGCACGCTGCTGGACCACGCCTACGACGAGGAGACGGACTACTGCCCCGAGTCCTACACTCTGTCGGTGCAAGACCTGGAGAGAGACCTGGAGAAAAACATGTCCCCGAAAACCATGAAGAGGTCAGACTATTTATCAAGTTGACTGATTCAAAAAATCTTCACCATTTATTTAAATTAAATCCTCAACAAAAAGTTAACTTCCATGAGGTCAGACCAGAGAACCAGACTCTGTTGGAGTTCATGTTCACCGAACAACATGATCCACTGTGACAGTAAATCATCTCGTCACATGAGACATAATGAGACTCCAACGTGTTTATGATATGGAAGACAAACAATCCTGAGCTGACACAACAAACCGGCACTGCGGGCATCACACTGTCAACACTTACTGTTGAGTCACTAATTAATCATCAAGTAATGAATCATCAGGTAATTAGTCTGGAGAGTTGAAAATATTCTGCTGTTTGACTCAATCGGTTTCAGTTCTGACATGTTTGTGTGAATTATTGTTTATAGAAATTATTTCCAAATGCTTATAAGATAGGCTTTACTGTTTTGAAACATAATATTTATTAAGAGCAGTCATTTAGGAACTAAATGAAAAATGTACACACTTTTATGACATTTTCTATTTTCTTTTAGTAGTTTATGGTACTAATTCATTCATTTTTTCACATTTTAGTTCAGGAAACATTTAACTTGTGGTGGATTTTTTGCAGATCTTTGTTTGCTGTTACAGGTGTTTGTGTGGAAACAGTGATGCAGTTGCTCCCCAGCTCTGCCTGCATCTTATTGACTGTTTTTGCTGCTGCAGGTCTCAGTCAGTGGTGGAGCCAGGAGTCCTGAAGAGACCGGACAAAGTGAAGAGTGAAGAAGACAACCTGCAGCCGCTGCTGTCGTTGGACTAAACGCCCAAAGTTACAGCGGAGAAGCAGGAATAGATCAATATTTCAATTCCTAAAAAAGTACCTGTGCACATACTGGAAGCAACTCTCATCCTGCAGAAAGACGTTCCTTCAAACTTTAGGGAAAGCAGCAGGGACAGAAACCGACGAGCTTCTGATGGTCCTCTATACAGTATATTTATTTATGTAGTTTCATGTCAAGTGCCAATTCCAGAAACTGTAAATATGAAGTCTTTAAACAATCCAGAGCGGCGCAGGGAAGGCTGGTCTTCAGGCCGAGCGGAGCCGCAGAGGGACGTGTGGAGGAAACGGTTCCCACGGTTGCTACAGGAGGACGGATGTGAGAAAACTGCAAAGCATATTTCAAAGAGGGCTTCAGGCCACAGCAGCAGGATTTTTTTATATCTTTGAAGAAAAAAACTCTGTACATGGACCAGAAGGAGGCCGCAGAAAAACAGACACTGCTTGTTTTCTTGTAAGATTTTTCCGATGACAATAACGTCTAAAATCTCCGTCTCTCTCCAGTTATCTTTTGGAAAAGCAAACCTCCCTTTACGGTAAGAGTTGTCTCTGTGAATCATCGGCTTTTTCCCCCCTTCAGCCATTTTCTCTCCATCTGACCCAGATGTCACAGAAAACGGCTCCGCTCCACCATTAGAAGACCCACAGAGCCGCAGGCTCTCTTCCTCCTCAGAAGTCCTACTTTCAGAACCTAATGGGTTTAGCCACTAAAACCAGGGCTAAATATAATTTTATAAAAGCAAAGTTCTTTTGCTTTGTGGCACTTTTTGTGTTGCAAGGTGGGAAAATTTTGGGTGACAACGTTCATCCAAAGCATAAATAAATCAGTGAGTAGCTGCAGTTTAACTTTCACTTCAGGGTAAAGATTTTTTCACTATGTAAGATTTATAGAAATAGATGTTATAGAATGCACAGTTTCTTTTGCTTCTGCAGGAAATCATATGTACATAATGCAGCAAATGTACTGCAGGTTTATTGGCTCATGTTAAAAAAAAAACTATTTATTGTTTTCGATTTAAAATTTGCGACCGATCCACACATCAATTTAGCTTTTCACTTTTATAGTACAGATATATTTTTTATTTCTGTGTCTGGTTTGATTTCAGGCTTTATAGTTCAAACTTGTCAGTTAGTTTAAACCTCTATTACAGTAGAGTTATAATCAATTAGATATGCATCTATTTGGAGGATAATCACTTACATATTATGAATTAGGGTGATTGCAGATAGAAAAAAGAAAGAAGTGCATTTCTGCCAAAAAAACAAAAACAACTTCAAAATGTTTCTACTTTTGAAACTCAAAAAGTTTCCAAATTGTTTCTATTTGCACTGGTCCAAATAAACCATCAATAAAATTTGAGATTTTTTCTCAGAATTCTGACTTTTGATCTCAAAATTCTGACAAATAAAAGTAAAAAATGAATTCTGAGAAAAATAATCATTTATTATTTTTTTCTTTTTCAGAAAACACACAATGTCCCAAAAAATCCAAATGAACTCTGGATGTTTAGTTTTTAATGTTTCTGACCTGCAGACATTACAAACTGCAATAAAGTGTCTCTCATTAGTAAATGTAGGTTATAGACACAGAAAATAATCAATGGTTTATGTCAGAACTTTCTTTTTTTAGCTTTAAACACAAAGAGAGAAAAACTCAAACATATTCCAAACAGTTTGGACATTTATTTTCTGTAAAAAGGCCTTTAAGTACTTAGAGTTTAGGTTGAATTTTATATTGAGAGTACAGATGTTATAATTAGTGAGATTTTTTATTTAAATTGCATAGATAAGATAGAAGCTTTAACTCAGCATTTGCTCCACCCTGTTTTTTATTTTATTTTTGGAGTTTATTGAAATGCATCCGGCCCTGATGCTGTTTGATAAACGGCTGTCGCAGTTTTTCCACATCAGGCGAATGAAGTGCAAAGCTTCGACCAGTGAATGTCAGCAGCGTCTCTCCGGCTGGAGAACGGGCAGCCGGGCGGGTCAGGGGTCAGAGCTGGACCCGCTCGGAGGCGTCCGGCTGAACGCAGAGCGACAGCTGGGATGTTCAGACGCTGCTCAGCATCAGCCTGGCCTCCGGACCGCAGACAGGAACCCGCCGCTCTGAGGCTCACACTTTCATTCACTCAATTTATACTCAGCTTGTCCCTCTGAGCAAAAAGCTGCTCAACATTTGTAAAAATTTGGCTTTGATGGTTCCTGCATAAAAAAAAAAATATTGGTGTATTTTTCACAATGAAACATTTGTTCACTTTTTTAAATATTTTTTACATAAAAGCTGCACAAATTTGAGATAATTTCCTTTCTGCTCCATTTGAGCAAGTGTGAGGGTAATATGCATCAAATCTTCATGCAAAGATTTACAGAAGGTCTAAAAGTTTCAAATCCTTTTAACGCTCAATTTACTTCAAATGTAAAAAAAAAGATTTGTAATTTCTTCCCCTAAATTTGAAGTGCTTAATTCCATGTTAGGCAGGATAGTCCTGCTTTCACCAGAGATTTGCAGAAAATGAAAACATTTTCAGGTCGTTAAGCAGCCATTTTAAAAATTAGTCCTGCTAAATTTGTCTGCCTGGATGTGAAATATAATAATAGAAACTGAGCTAACAACAAGAATCAGGCTAAGTTTGATCATAAATACCGATCATTTCAATATATTTTGACCTGGACTCAAACTAATTGGTACATCCACTTTTTAAGAGATGTGGCTAATATTTTGAAATTGACATTTTTTGGGCCGTGAGGAGTTTAATGTGACTTAATCGAAGTTTATGTTTGGGGTATAAAGTTTCTATAAACAAAGTAAATGTCCTCTATAAACTGGGTAAAATTAAACAGTTTTAAACGAATGTAAGGAAGAAACACTTTGAGCTATAAACTTAAGCAGTTAACACTTATTTCACTAGTTGTTCTAGTAAAATTTCTGTAAAAATAGACAAAATATTTTCTGATGTTGTTAAATGATGCAGCCAAATATATTCTGGTTTAAAAAGAGGAACACTGTTGCTGTTTTTTGTTCATATTAATCTAGCTTAAGTTTTAGATTTTATTTGTGAGTTTTTGTTTGCAAAAAAAAAAAAAAAGCAAAATAATGAACCAGATCCACTAAAGGGCAAAATTTGAATCTGAGAAAATGCAACAATCCTTCACAGAAGCTACCGGGTGCTTAGACTTTACTTTCTGTGCATAAACAAACACCTTGGATGTATTTTTTTAAGGTTATCAAACAGCATGGTGGGGGTCAGAGGTCAGGAGGTGTAAAGACAAACAGGGACACACACTCTCTCACACACACTCTCACACAGCCACTGTAGATGCTTCCAGTTGTTGGGATGAAACGTTTACATGAACTAGACATGTACACTGCTTGAATATCGCTCCACTCCATGAACTCAGAGCCTCCTGCTGCTCCACCGAAGGTTTCGAAGATTAAAGTGATAGAAGTGAATTTCACTGGTTGTTTTGTGTGACAGTATTTAACAGATGGTTATACAAAAGATCTTTAATTTTACAACAAAATGTTCTTTTCTGGTAATTCCTCACTGAACATTTAGTATTTTTGATGTTTATTTTGTCAGTATTTTTATGGAAATACTAATGTTACTAATGTTTATTATAAAAATGTCAGATGTGTGCTTTTTAAACCGTGAGCAATCAGAAATAAGTTTCATATTTAAGAAATTCAGCATTTTGAATGTTTTTCTACATGATGTTTTGTCTTTCTTCCCAAAGTTTTCATTAGAATAAAAAATAAAAAACAACCTAAAAACCACCTAAGGTGCCACCCTGGAGGTTCACAGATCTTCATACACATTTACCAAAACATTTTAACCAAAATTTTAGATCTTTACGAAACAGTATGATATAAAAAGTGACAGCAGTCTTTAAAAAGCTACACTTTGTAATTTATTTTATAAAAAAATGTGCAGTTCAGTTTATTTTCTCATGATAAAATTTAGTCACACCTCAAAAAGATTTGTATAAATAACTAAACCTAAAGATGGGGAGTTTTTCCCATCGTATTGAAATTAGTGTAATTCATAAAACTGCAATGGAAACTTTTTTTGACCATCAACCAGCTGTTACTATCTGTGGAAAAGACGAAGAAGACGACAGGAAATAGTTGGAGGATGATGGAGTGATGTAATCTTTACTGACTTATTGTGTAAACAAACATATTCATGCAATTGCAAAATTATTGATATTCCACAAAAACACAAAGTTTTGAGTACATCTGTCATGAAAATGCAGCTGCTGTTTATAAAACCCAGGAACCTCCATGATGGTAACTGATGTGATTTCCAGCTGATTTGGTTATGAAATGGTGCATCTTTTATTTTTTTTACTCATGCTAAGCAGGAAACAAGACACAGCGCTGAAGTTTCACTTGTTTCAAGTATTTCTTGGTTTCACCTTGGTTTGTTTTCAGTAAATCCTCCCAGCTTTCATGAACTTGAGTTGAATAACTTTTCACTGATCTAATCATCTTTCCCCCCTGAGTTAAAATTCTCTGCATACAGCCTGACTTCATTAATCCATTTTTATTTCCTCTGCTCTCCATCACGCTCTTGTCATACAGTATTTTGTAATAATCGATAGCTGTGAGCGGTTTAATTCTCACTGACTTTGAATTGTGTTACGTCTCTGCCAAAGCCACTTGTTCCACTGAGAATCTAATGTATTGTTTCTGATCATTAAGTATTTGTGCACTGATGACATTGAATGATCTTTTCTTACGGATCTGTAATTTCTTGAGGAGAAAAGAAATGAATGCATAATTTTGAGTTTACTCACTTCTTCCTTTCTCACAGTTTTTTGATTGTATAGTTACATTAGGAAGATCACACTGAAGCAGAAATGTGAAGTTATTATGGAAAGCCAGTATATTATAGGAGCAAAAACTGTCCAGTTAGCAGGTGTTCTGTGTGTAAATGTCCTCAAACACAATTTGCTGAAATGTAAAATGATCAAAATAAATATGGACATGCAGATTTTCTTACTCTGTTGTTTTTGATTTTGTTTCTTTTAATATTTGAAACAAGATCAACTGCAAAAATTGGGACTTTCAGATAAAAATACACTCATCTCACTGTCTAGTTTAATAGATTTCTCATTTAAAAGAATAAATGTAAATCTTGTGAAAGGTAGGAATGTGTGTAAATGTTAAGAGGTCAGAATGCCACAGGAGTCAAAATGAAATGACCTTCACTTACATCCAAGAGTTAGAGATCATTGATGACCACACTCTGGTCTGGTAGGTGGCGGTAAATGCACCTTAAGTTGGTTGAAAAAAAAAAAAACAGAAGAAGAAGAAGAAGAAGAAAGCAGAGCAGGAGAAAGAAACAACAGACATGCAGGGAAACAATACATGACATCTAAAATGGTAAGATTTAAATGTATTCCTAAACTAAAACAGAATTTAACCAAATAAACAATGAAGATAACATCAAAAACAGAAGCATGGATGAAAATCAAAGTTCTAACAACTTAGAATCACAAACGCAAGATAATTACAAGATAATTCAGCTTCTCTTTTGTTTTTTGTTTTTTTAATCAGGTATTTAAAATATTAACTGTATTTAATCCTGACTGGCTTTGATACTTTTCTCTCTGCATCTCAATTATACTTTTGGTGTTTGAGTTTTTTGTGACCAAATAAATGCTCAAAACATTTTATCATTTTATCTGACTAATTAAAAGATTTGATTAAAAAAAGGGGAACAACTTGTGTCATCAGTGAAGATAAAAATAATTTTTTGTTCAAAATCAGTGGAGAAAAATACACATCTGTTCAGATGTTTAATGATGAAACGAAACACAAATAACTTTAAATATTTATTCACATTATAACACAAAAACTCATTTTGTAGTGAATGTTTCAACATTTTACTCACAGCCGACACTTTGATCTGTAAATGTCCGTCTGTTGCTTCTGAAGGTTTTGTTGCTTTTGTTTTTACACACAAAAGTCAGATCAGTGAATATTTGCACCAATGTATATTTTTCAAAAGATACTTTCATGCATAAAACATAAAAAATAACAAACATCAAATCCTTCTGAGAAAACAAAATCAAAGAACTTTAATTCTGTTTATTTGAAACACAATTTGAGTAAAATAACCACTCATGAAAATAATCTCACTAGTTTATTGCTGAAAATATAAAATTTATCATTACTGGCTTTAAGGCAAAGTTATTTTCAAACTTTCTAAGTAGGCTTTGTTGTTGTAAAATAAAAATGAAGGGAAAAAAAGAGCAGAGTTTAAATCTAAAGTGTTAAAGTTTCAAAAGAGACTTTAAATAAAAACTTAAATATGAATCAAGTGTCATTGTTACCAAATTATTTGTCTCTGGTGCCTGAATTTAAAAAACACACCTTATTTTGAGAAAAATATATACAAGTATAAATTAATGCAGCCAGTCAGACAGCAACAACAGAAATGAACAAAAACTGCAAATATACTGAAAACATTAAAGCTCCAAGATGGTCTCAAACCTAAACATCATTTTTATGAAACACATGTAACTTCTTATCTGTTTTTGAGAAAAATGTTACTTTAAAGGAAAATACACTTCTATAATGTCTTCCACTGTTTGAATGTGGCTCCATTTCACTTTATATCTGTTATTTTCTGAAGCCTGGATGTGATTTTCTAAAACAAACCAGTGAAATGTGAAGCTGCTCACCTTTAATTTTAACCTGCTTACTTGGTCAAGTGATGAGAAAAAGCACCAAAGTTAATGGTAGCAATAAAACATTAATGCTCAAAATTAAAATGGAATACATATTTACGACATTTTACAGCTAAACACCATTTCTTACATCATTTCTTACTGCTTTTTTTCGGCTCGCAGTTGGAAAAATGCCAACAAACATTTTTTGTCTGAGGTTTAAGATCAATAAATGCTCATTCCTCTGCAGATGAAGAACTAACAACGAAATAAAAAGAATAAAACAAAAACGTGAAGGCAAAGTATTGTGATAAAATGTATCAACATGCATAAAAAGTCAACTCACCTTAACAAAATCAAATATGAATTTAAAACCTGTAATATTTTCAAGCTTCAACTAAGTTTACATCAGATTGCACTGATGTCTGTCCTTCCATCGCTGACAGTAAATCTACGGTAATAATTAAATAAAAATACAACATATCTGCAGCTGTACAATATAAATACTGTGTGTTAATGTAAATAACACAAATATAAGCTGCAAACACAACATTTACAACAAGCAAGAAGGTTGACACCTGGCTTCCAGGTGTGATTTAAGGCCACAGCGGCAAACGCATTCACTGTAGTCGGGCAAGTCCTGTAAAGAACTGAGACCAGAGTTTCCTTGAACCCATTTTAGATTTGGACTCAAAAGTTTTCGACAAACCTGAGGGTTAAATGCATCAAGGCGAACCAAAACAAGATGTTCAGCATACATAAAATAATACTTCCCACTCCAACTGTCTGACTTTCTGAGGAAGTTTAAGCAAACTGCTAACTGTCAATCTCAAAAATAAGAAAGAACTGCTGCTTTGGAAAACTTGTCAAAAATGTCCACATTGTCCAAGAATCTCACTGTAGAGGTTTTGGTAATTCTGCAGTGGATCTCTGGTATTTATGGGTTAGGGACCAAAGTCACAAACAAGCAGCAAAATCACTTGAGCCCCCTCTTATTACTCCTATAACTGCATATTTTTCATTGTTCAAACACCAAACACACTTTAATACTTATTAATATGCACAGAGGAAAATGTCTTAGCATTTATCCAGTTTCCTTTATCTCCGGTCAGCCAGTCATGCCAAGAAAATTAAACGGCACGTCTCTGGATCGGCTGCTTTGTGAACGACCAGTAGAATTGTGCCAAAATATTTCAGCTTCCCAACCTGCATTTTCTTTCAAATATGTTAGAAATGCAGAAAGAAATAAATTCTTGAATCTGTGAATTTTCTGTGAATAGTTTGGAGTTTCTCAGAAAACTCTAAATTGTCGGAGATCCACTGTTTTAGATGACATAAATTCTCTGCAGGTTTACAAAACTAAACTCTGTATTTTAATAGTTTTCTCCACTTTGTTCATATTGTTGACATTTCAAAAAGATCAGCTAGCGCATAATTTGGCACAGCTTCGCCGCACTTCAGTCTCACATGTCAAACTGCTTTATTTAGTCCCTTTGCAGCAGTACCCTGGACTATTCTGTCACATAAATAAACTATTTAACTTCAACATTTGTTGATGATAATCATGTGCACAGAACCATGAGGAGTGAAACATCGTGGGAGGAGAGACTCCCTTTTGGTTCCTTTACAGTAGCATAGTTTTCTATTCAATAAGACAACAGAAGGAAATGTCTGGCGGCGCTCAGTAAGTCATAAAACCATAACGGTGAACTTGTTGCTGAGTCGCGTCACCAGAACCGAGAAGAATCGAGGTAAAACAACGACAGCGTATCAGGCCCGGTTCACAGGCTAAGAAAACTACATTCATTCACTGTGTCGCTTCAGTTGGTCACGTCTAAGTTGTCCTGCAGTTTCCCCGTCCCCAAACGCCTCACGTTAAAACTCCTGCAGCTTCTCCACTCTAAGCTACGGAGGCCTGAAGGTGCCACAATTTAATAAAAACATTGAGGTAATAAAATATGGATTTTACAAAATAATTAAGTGTATTTTTGATGCATAATAGAAATATAACTATTTCAAGGTTATATTTTAACTAAAGTATTCATGATGAACATAGTTATGTACATTTAATTCTTCATCTCCAATTTTACTGATAACATATATAAATAACTACCCATTTTCTTGATATTAAAGTTTATTTTGACACGCACTGTTAAGCAGAAATCTCCTCATTACCCAGTTCTAATTCCACATATTTAAATTGCACTACTTTTCATTTTTGCTATAATTTGTTTTGTACAGTAATGTACAACACTTTTGTTTTTCTAGTTTAGTTTTTGTCTTTAATATACTCTTTAATTTTTGTTTTTATATGTGCCTTTGTTTGTAAAACCAAACTTTTGCGTCGCAGTTGGGTCTTACTTGATAGCATAAAAAAGGAAGGAATTGGCTTGTTTTCTGGGATTTAAACTATATAAAAGGAGAAATGCCTGTGATTTAAATATTTAAAGGTTAAACCAGGACAACTTCCTGTTCTCTGATAGAGAGCCTCTCAGTTTTTATTACCATGCAGCTGCATTTTACTGCCGGATGTTTGGAGACGGGCATGCTGCTGGGATGAAAGTGGGAGCCTCTGGGTTTGGAGTCTTCACTGTTAGCATGCTAATCTCTTGCACCCACAGGTGATCTGTGATGAACAGGGGCAGTGCAGGTCACTGCTGTGACATTTAGTAATGGAGCACAAAAAGGTAAAAACTGTCAGCTTTGAAATTCCTTGTGGTTAAAATTATATAAAAAAAAACAAAAGGACTGATTGGAAATTTATTTTGTATCTGCAAAGAAAGTCTTAAACTTAGTCACAATGGATTGCAGTAAAAGTATAACTGTGGGTGCAAAAGAGTGGGAGCATTTCAGAAGCGTCCCCAGCAGCTCAACCACTGAATAAATCAGTAACTTGAAATAAAATCTATCTGTTTTCTTGCCTGTGTCTGAATCGCAGACAGAGGAAGTCACAGAGTTGGAGATCTGTCCGTCAGTCAGGTCAGTGGCCCGCTGCTCTGGCTGCTCTCTGCTTCTCCAGCATGGACCGCACAGCAGGGGACAACATGGCGGGAGACATGGCCGGGGTGAAAGGTCGTAAAGGATAGTAAGCGTGTTTTCCTGGGAAATAGATGCACTGGAAGAATTTCTGACCTGGAAAGAAAAGAAGGCGAGATGCTGTGAGCGTGTTTTAATCAGTTCAAGCATGAAGACATAAACATAAATATAAAATCTAAATGAATTACAAAACATGTAAATTACGTCAAAATGAAATTAGTGCTTGATGGTTGCAATCTCTCTACGGCAGACATAATTTGAAATGAAGTTAGTGCTTTATCATTAGCTTCCACCATGTTGGTGCAATACTTCAGCATTAAACTAATAATAATGTTTATGATGTTTACAATTTAGGGTCAGCACAACTAACTTGCAGTTGGCAGCGCCCACAATTATTGAGTACTGTTGATCTTTTAATTTGAATTAAATTACAGAAGCAGATCTTACTCTGTTTCTTCTTTTCTATCTTCTCTGTAACATTGTCTTCAGTCTCAGGCTCCTCTGCAAGAAGTCAAACATAATAAACTCAGATTGAGGAATTATGTGTTCATCATTATGCATTATGCACACAGTGACCGTCTGCAAGCTTATAAGCAGAAAAAATAGAAAAGGTGAATTTCCCCCCCTCCCAACAATATTTTGCCTTTTTAATCTTATTCTAAAGTTCAACTTTTTAAAAATTACGTTGCTTATTCAAAAACTTTTTACAGTGAAGATAAAAAGAAACACTGACACTTGGAGATCTTATAAATTACTGACAACTTGCTGATTTGTTTAAAAATCTTTCTTTTAAAGCGAATTTAATAAAACTTGTTGGAAAGTTTGACCATGGAAAAAATATTTAAAACAAAAATAATAAATTTAAGAAACCTTTTTGCATCTCATGTTTATTTTTCCATGTTTATTTATTTGTATAGTTGTCATTTCCACCAGTCAGCCAGAGGTTATAAACTTTAAGCTATAAACAGCAAAGAGCAAAACCAGGAGAAATACAAGACTTCCTGAAGTAAAACCTAACTTTAAGTCAAAATAAAAAATACATCAATATCTAATTATTGTGAGTTATTATTTTGAGCAGTTTAGTATCTGAAATCGTTTGATAATATGAAAGTTTTTACCTACTATGGAAAGACTTAAAATCGCACAGCAATTTGTAAATATCTTTTCAATTCTATGAAAACTAAAATATAATGTTAATACACAGATATGAAAAATATGCATATATCAAATAATTCAAATTATTGGGTAACTTTGATTAAGGCAGTTTTAAGAAAAAGCGTAAATGTCTTCACTGGTACTCTGATCCTACCTTTCCACACCACTAAAGTACTTCCTGGAGTTGCTTTTAAAGTACCACAGATTCTGTTTTTTTTATCACCCTAAATCAAACGGGTGTAGAAAACAGGAGGAGCTCTGTTAGAAATTAGAGAAGTGTGGGGACACTCTGGGCGGTGTTGGAAATCCACTGAATGACTCATTATGAACAGGAGACTAATCAGTTTTGGCTCTTAGGTTTAATCTGATGCTGTAAAACATTAATCTCTTCAAATAATTCAAGACCCTTAAAGATGTGGATAATCTCGTCTCAGTTAAATAATCTCATTAAACTCTTTTACTGTGCTGTCATTAGCTGTAGCATCTCCTCATACTGGTTCAGTCAGTGGAAATAAGGTGAGAACATAATTTATACCTCAGACCTTACAGGAACAGCGTCTTCCCCATTCGCTAGTAACAAAGCACACACATAAAATTATTGCTGTCAAAAATAAAAATAACTCCCACCCTGCTGAATTAGTCATAGAGATAAATGTTAAAATCACTAAATTGAATCAATATATTCTGGATGATATTTTTGGTTTTATTGAAGCGATTTAATGAGCATCATAACAGGTACAATTTTATTATATTACCGTTATCCTTCCAAGTTTTGTGGGTTTTTTCAGCCATTTTATTGTGAATTTATCAAATGGAAGTCCCTAAATCTGTCCCTAGACAAAAATAGGGTTACATAGGAAGACTGGAAGATGCACATGACTGTAAAGTGCCAAACAAACCCGAATTATCACCCATCAGTATTTATAGATGCTACGAAGTTTGGTTTGATTGAAACATGGTGCTATGCATTAAGGCCCAAAACATCTCAACTTTATCCAGAGTGACAAGCAATAGTCATACTTACGAGTTTTCGGTGGCTGTTTGACTTTATCTAGAGTTTGAGAAAAGATGCTGATCAGTTTAAAGTCAGGATTTCAGAGGAATTGTCTATTTTCTGACTTCATACCTTCAGCTTCTTTGGCTGCTTTCTTTTCAGCCTTTGCAGCTTTTTCTGTAACAGAAAGAAAAGGCCCAATTATCCTGCAAAACACATCACCATCATATTTTACACTCCCTCTGTGTTGCACCTCACAGCACATCCTCAATTAGTTTTATCTGGCAGAAAACAACTTTAATCACATAATCCATACACCTTTTTACGAGCCAGTTCTCTCTGAGACGTCAAAATAAACACATAAAAATACCAATAATCTGGTGAGAAATGTGAGATTCGAATCATAACAATTTGTATTTGTTCATTAAACGGTCACTGGTTTGTTTCTTAGAATATATTATGTATGAGTTACTATGCTGGAGATAAATATTTGTGTTTCATCCTGATTGCGCCTGATGCAGCTATCGAGATATGTCCTTTTTAACAGACAAACCCACACACCGCTCGTTCTCCTACAGTTGGACGTTGTTTTGAAATCTGCACATTATTATCCTGAGTGGGAATTTTCTGGAAGTCTTTTCTGACCGTTTCCTCCCACTCTCACATATTCTGTCTAATTATTCCTCTTTTCCATTTCATGTGTTCAGCCTGTTAACATTACTGAACTCTGCTGGCTTCCCATCTCTTCTCGGCATCATTTGAGGATTCAGTTATTGTGACTGAAGTGAGGTCAAAGGCATTTCATCCTGCCCACTCTCAGCTTTAAAACCGAAACACATTTTATTATACAATACAAATTAAGCTGCTATTTCTAATAAATTTAAAGCACAAAATCCACGGCTACTTTGGAAGGACACATATGAGAAAGCTAATGTTTTTGCTAAAAATAATGAGCAGAGCTTAAGTTTCAGAAACAAACAATGTAGTTTGTATTAAAAGGGTAAGTTTATACTTATATTTACTTGAATGTGAATACATCTGAAATAAACTAAACTAACTCTGTTCTCATTAGTTTGACCATGAACTCCTCTGAATATTAAGTTTTCTTACAGCCAAACATCAAAAATCTCACCACCTTTAACTGGATGATCAGCAGAAAACAAATTGGGGTGATGCAACCACCTAGTCAAAGTCCAGAAATCAACCTGATTAAAATGTTTTGGTGAAATTTCCAGTTAACTTTTCTAAAATAAATATCTTTAACCTCAATGAAGTTAGATAATGTTATAAAGTTTATTCTGGAGAAAAATCATCCAGAATGAATGAATGAAAAAAACTGATCAACTACTGAGAGTTATGGATGCTAAAGACGACAAGGCTAAAGACGACGATGCTAAAGACGACGATGCTAATGACGACGATGCTAATGACGACGATGCTAATGACGACGATGCTAATGACGACGATTCAGTCGACTGAATGCTAAAGACGATTCAGTCGTACGATTCAGACAGAACTTTAAGTATTTCATCTGTTTAATAAATAATAATGACATGAAATCTGTGATGCCATTTTCTATTATTGAACTTTTATGTAAGAAATTTCAGAGACAAGATTCTATTTGTGTTCTTTTATGGAAAATATACAGATGAAAAACAATGGTTAGCTTTCCTAGAAGATCATTTATAGAACCACTGAGCACAGTAAAGTGTGTTATGTTCAACCTGCCTTGGTTTTGTTGAAGTTACCTGATTTAAAGGAAACTCTGATTGGTTTCTTTGGCTCAGCTCTAGCGGTCACGTTTGTCCTCCTGTCAGCTTCCAGCCTCGTCCTCAGTCTCAGAGGCTGTGGACGTGATTCTGGTTCTGTCCAATGCAACACATTTTATTCATTTATACAAAAGTAAACCATTGGCATCTGCATCAGAATTTGAAACTGGAAAAGTTTTAAATTCAGTTAGAAACTTGGTCCAACTCAATTACTTAAAAAAACATGAACCATTAGGAAAGGTTTGCAGAGTTCATGCATCATCAGAATTGTACCTTTCTTATCTTTGGATGCTTTGACTTTGCTCTTGACAGCCAGCGCTCCGGAGGGGAACAGAAACAATTAGTTTCTAATCAACAATCATCTCTCTTGTCACTGCAGTGAATGATGACTGACTTTGTGCATATTAATTTGAGTCGGTGCGTGTTGTTACCTGTCCTCTTAGACACTGATTTCCTCTTCTGTTGTACAGCTGCAGGCTCTAACATAATGAGCAAATTGTGGGGATTAGCTTTAAAAAAAATCATGTTTCAGTGTCACTGCAGAGATTTTCTTTAGGCTGCATCTCAATTCATTTAGTAATGACAACCCAGACTAAGCCAGACTCGGTCAGCTAACCTTTGCTTGATTTGGTTTTCTCTCTTGCAGGCCTCTCTATGGACGGAAAACAAAAAAAAGCCAAATAACAACAGAAAACAAGAGCATGCAGCTAATCAATTAATTAATATTTAATGTACCTTTTTTAGCTTCAGTTGGAAGTTTTGATTTCACCTTTGTGGGCCTCTCTAGACAGAAGTGATAAAATTTGACCCAAAAAGCAACATTTTTGAAAGCAAACAGCCTGATAATTCAGTTAATATCAGCTTTACCTTTTTTAGCTTCAGCTGGAAGTTTGGATTTCTCCTTTGGAAACTTCTCTGTAGATGAAACAGTAAATTTGAAATGCGAAACATTTTTAAAAATATTTAGATTATCAATTTTCTAAGCATATACTTCACCTTTTTTAGCCTCAGCAGAAAGTTTGGTTTTCTCTTTTTTTGGAGCTTTATCTAAAGAAACAAACATTTGTGTTTATTTTAGTTTCTATGTAATTTATTCCATAGCATTTATTATAATGGAATAGTTTTCAGTCATAAAGTCACTGCGTTAAGCGAAGCTAAACAGGAAATGCTTCTTTCTGTTTTGTCCTTTTTCACTCAGAGAGAATAATTGCAGTAAAATGACCTCAGAAAACAAATTGTGCCTATTTAATGCACGCAGACACTTTGTGCCACTATATTACAGTTATCACATGCTGTAGCTGCAGTTAATTTCAGGAAACATCCCACTGATTCAGTGAATTAAAGCAAAAGAACATCCAGTACCTTTTACTGAATCAGCAACCTTAGTTTTTTTCTTTGCAGCTGAGAAAACACAATAAAATGCATAATTACTGTTCACAGCTGAAATTAGGAGAAAAATGTTGATGTCTACAAATTTAACTCATTAAATAGTTTGTACCTTTCTTCACTGAGGGAGCTTTTCTCACAACTTTCTCTGGTTCTAAAAGAAAAACAAATATCCTTTTTTATCATTCAGTATGGTTCAATATTTAAAACTGTTTTTAACTGGAACTATATTAACTTTATGTATCGTGTTTCTCTTTGTGTAATCATGTCTTTTTTCAGATTTTTGCCGTTTTTAACCCATTTCCATAGTAACTAATCATCTTCATGGTCTTCCTCACCCTGGTCTTCAGCTTCTGCCAGCGGAGCTTCAGCAGCTGGAGTCGGTGCCTCAGGCTCCACCGGTGGCTCAGGTTGTGGAGCCTCTGGCTGTTCTGGTTGTACTGGTGGAGAAGGTTCTGCAGGAGGTGGCATTACAGGTTGCACTGGTGGCTGATATGGCTGATGGAGAGCATAGAGCGGCTGCATTAGTGGAGGAGGAGCCTGCTGATACAGAGGCTGTGATGGAGGAGCTGGAGGGTGAACGGTCACAATCGGAGCAGAGGGAGCTAGAAAAAAAACAAAAGCTGTTCATGACCTCACTGCATACTAAATATTCGATCAGAGTCGATCCCACATCAGCGTGAATACCTGACATGGTTGGAGGAGGGTACGGATTGTCTGTGACGATGTGATGAACTGGAGAACGCAGACAATTTCAGCAAACAGACGGCTTACTTAATTATGATGCAACCAATCTTTTACAGATTTTTAAGCATTTCATGTATGTTATTATTAGAGGGTGACCTACCGTACCATCCTGGGGGGGCCGGGCAATAAACTGGAGCAGGTCTGCAGGGACTGACTGGAGCAAAAATTAAATGCATATTAAAGTTTCCTATCTGGAGTCCAATAGACAGGACAGAAGTTAACATGACTTTTAAGTTACTTTTTGTGTGTGTGTATCTTAAACTGTCCAAATACATCGCCTAATGTCTTTTAACACATGCTGCCAAATATAAGTCAAAAACACATCTTATGTCCATATGTATTTAGTATGTTTAAAAATCAATTTATATGACTTGTATAAAGATCAGATGCTTAACTAGCTTAATAATCATGCTTTGTTTATCAATCTGGTTTTAATTGTAGATAATGAAACATAACTGTAGTAATGTTGCAAGAAATGTTTGAGGCTGAGTGAGCTTTAAAATGCTAACTGCTGACTTTCAAAATTCCAAATTTGAAATGTAAACATTATTTTATTTTCCTTATGTTTGCTTTAGTTGACCGAACAATTATTTTTTATTTATTTATTCATGCACTGTGCATTGCCAGCTCCATTTCAACAGGAGGTTGTTTCACAAACCAGGACAGCGGATTAATCCGGGACTTTCCGGATATCCTGGCACCGAACAGTGGCGGTTACTGGTTACCATGGTGATTTAGCCGCTGTAGCTAGCCTTACCCAGAGCGCGGTTAGCTAGTCCTGTTTAGGCCGCTATTTGTCGATCATAAACCAATGTTTTTTTTACTCAATGATTGCCACACAATATTTAAAACATAATTATTTGTATCATAAATACCTTTTGCTTTTGTCAAGGGGCTGCGAACAACAAAATACATTTTATAATCCGCGGTGCAACTTCTTTCTTTCTTTTGACTGCCGTTAAGCTGCCGTTGCGCTAACAACTAAATAGGAAGTTGACGCTTCAAAATAAAAGCATCACAACCAAACAGGAAGTTAAAACTAATTAAGGGTTTAAGTCAGAACAAGTCAGTTGTACATTGTAGTCAACCTTTACCAGATACTGGAAAATGTTCCTATGTTTAATCTTGACCTGTTTTCATGTTTGTTCTTTATAAACATTGATAAAATATCCAACAAAAAACAAGCACACCTACTGCATCAAAACTTCCACTGGTTTTTGAGTTTACAGTTGTTCTTTTGAGGAAATGGCAGTAAGTCCTTGAACGATGTGATTATGAAGTTTTTCAGTTAAGAGCAGGGGTTTGCAAATGTCTTCAGGATACTTAAGCTTTTAATAAGGATTAGAAAATCAACAAAGTAAAAAGAAAAAAAACAAAATCTGTAGTCACAAAAATAGAAAAATGTAATTTGTGTATTTTCTTAACTTGGTATATTAATTAGAAAAAAAAAGAGAAAAACAGAATTTAATTTTAACTGTTTACCTTCCTGTGCAGACTCTGTGGTCTCTTCTTGTTGCTTGGTCTCCATCACTGGTGATACAAAAATAATCAAATTAAGGGGAAAAATAATAATATCTTTTGTAATAATGGTGTGTATTGGACTTGCTTACCTTTTTTTGACATCTTGCTCTTTTGTTTTATCTTAGCTTTATGAAATAAAGTTCGTATTAATATTTTTATCAACTGATTAAAATAATGTCACTGCTGTGTGGCGGCAGTTTATCGATAAGTGTGCATGAATGCTGAGACGTTTATATTCTCTGGATACCTTTCAAAAGAGGAGCTAATCTTCGGATTCTCCGGGCTTTTGGCTCCAGAGCTGGAAATCTAGGAAGAGCTGGTTCAAACATCGGAGCGCAGTTCAAGTAATTATGTCTACACAATACATATATAATACTGTTTGGTATTACCTTGTCGTCTTGGCTTTTCATCTGTCTTCTTCACAGCTTCCTGTTCTTAAAGTAAAAGACAAATAAATGAACAAGAAAAATTGATTTTCAACATACTTTTCAATACATCATAATAATTCCTTCTAGTCGTGAACTTTTATAAATTAGAAAACTATTATATTTGTTGTACTTGGAAAGATTTGGTTGTTTATGAAAACAAAAAATATTATTTTTTTAGAATTACCTTTTTTCCTTCGCACAGCCGACACCCTTCTGGGAGCATCTAACAGATAAATACTAAATTAAAATCCTAAAAATATCAAAAAATAGAGTTTTTTTTAATACCGATATTCAAATATATTCATACTTCTTGAACTTTTTCTAATGTTTTTAAAAATTTTGTCATTATACAATCACAAATTTCAATGTATTTTATTTTCTTTCTTTCTGTTTTAGTTCATCCATCATGTTCATTTTCATTGTTTGGTTTTGTTTTATTAGATTACTATTTCTTTCTGTTTATTTTTTATTTTAGGTTAGGGTTCCTTTCTCCTTTATTTTTTTCTTTGTTTATATTTCACCTCACCGTCAGTCTACCGTTCGGCTGCATCCACTCACCTATGATTAGCTCTTCTGTCTCTTGTGTCATTTCCACATTTCCTTCTGGGTATCTAAGCTCTTCAGTTCTCATCAGCTGAGTTTCAGTTATAAATGCATGTTTGGTTTTGTACATGAATTAACCAGGAATACAAACAAACCTCTTTTGTCTGCAGTCTTGGTAACTCTCTCTTTTGTTTTTGCAGAATGTAGGCAGGGACACTCTGAAAATCACAAAGGTCTAAAATTAAAGTTACATGAATAACAAATGAGGTAAAAACTCCCCTCCTCACACTCAGTTTCTAACCTGCTGGTTCCTCCTCTGGCTCAGCCACAGGTTTGATCACGTCCACTGAGGCCTTTTCTTCATCGCCGTCCTCATCGTACTCCTCTTCCTTATCTTCGGATTTGTCGATGGATTTCTGAGGCTTAGAAACAGATTCTTCTTCATCTTCCTCCTCAGGAGCAGCAGGCTGGCTGGTCTCTGATGGAACAGAACAAACCCGAACACTTACACAGTTATAAAAAAACAAACAAAAAAACTGAGATCTTCTTAAGAGCCATCAGAAGTTCTGGTGCTGTAAAATTACCAGAACTGTAAAGTTATTTAAAATATGAATCGTATGTTTTTATTTGGGTCTTTTTCTCTCATTCAGTGATTACGTTGCTCTTATTTTACAAATCTATAATAAAAACACAGTTTTTTTATGTAATTTATAGCTGATAATTACCAGCTTCTTCTGTTTCATCTTCCTCCACCTTGTCTTCATCATCTCCAGCCTCATCATCATCTACAGCAGTCTTTGCTGCCTCCTCCTGGCCAGTGGTCGCTGCTGCAATGGCGGCTTCATTTATAAAGCACATTAGTCATTAAATTGAGTTACTAAAATGAGTCATTTTAGATACTATAAATTATCAAATGTCCACATATTTATTTAATGACTGAATTAAATATGTTAAACATTTAGTTATTTCCCTTCTTTGATTTTAAACACAAAAAATTCAATCTATTTTTATTTATTTATTGTCATTACTGTTTTTCCAAAATGGCTCTGATTGGATTAGAGGAAGCTCATAACTGTATCAGGGCTAAATTCTTACTAGTTTGGTGCTGATTTAATAAACATCAACAAATCCATAACCTCTATTTTTTAGGCTTCAAGTAATGTTAGTCAGGTTGACACTTGTAGTTGCAGAAACTTATTGGTGATCCTCAATAAACTAGAGGATTGTCAATAAGTTTATTTCAGTTATTCAAGTTTATTCTATGGAAAAAGGATTTCTTAAACAAACTGATCATTTTCAACCATTTATTTCTATCAGTTTTGATGATTATGGCTTACAGCCAATGAAAATAAATAGTTTCTCAGGAGAAACTAAAAAAGGAGGAAAACTAGTTTGCATACTGCTGCATGAGCTGCATGATAAGGAAAAGTTGAGTGGAAGAAAAAAGTGTACCATGGAGCAATAGCCATAACTGCAGCACATTTAAAAGGTTAAACCCAACAAGGTGTGGATTTATCACTTTGGTGTCATGCAACATTATAATTTTTTAAAGTTATATCAGAAAACATAAATGAATAAACACTTTGAATTTATTTTTGTTTTTTAATTCTACAAATTTCAGTGTTTATATTTCATTGCTGTCATTTTGTGAAGTTTTTTTCCTAAAACTTTAAATCTTTGGTCAAACTTTTGAATATTTTGGATTAAAAAAGGGAGGAAATGAAAGTTTAACCTCACCTGACAACAGGACGTCATCGAGCCCATCATCGTCTTCCTCGTCTTCGTCTTCCTCGTCTTCATCTTCCTCATCTTCATCCTCACCTTCGTCATCCTCGGCTTCATCAATGTCTTCCTCGGTGCCAACCAATGTTTCTATCACTTCTTTCTCCTCTTCATCATCGAAGCTCGTCTCAACATCGTCTTCCTCCGTTTCATCTTCATCATCGCTCAGAGAGTCCTCATCAAGATCTTCATCAAGATCTTCATCATCGTCGTCGTTGTCATCTTCGTCACCCAACACTCCACTGTCTGAGCTGACTAAAGGAAGAACGTCCACCTCTTCTTCTTCCTCTTCCTCTTCCTCTTCCTCTGCTACTTCTATTTCTTCCTCCTGTAAAGGTTTGACAAGATCTTCATCTTCATCAACCTCAAGGTCAATGAGGTCGTCCTTATCAAGGTCTTCATCTTTACCTTCATCTTCATCATCTGCGAACAGTTCAGAGGAAGCCACAGAGACGTCGTCTGATTGGTCCAGATCATCTTCATCTTCCTCAGAAGCCTTTATGTCATCATCATCATCATCATCGACAGGTGGTAGAGGAGGAAGATCTTCCTCATCTTTAAGATCTTCGTCACTAGAAAGTGCTATGTGAGGAAGATCTAAATCCAAGTCTTCCTCAGTGTCCTCTGCGATGACATCATCACTGTCTGACGTCGCTGCTAGTAGGTCATCTTCATCATCTTCCTCACTGGACAGAAGTGCCGAGTCACTGATTTCTGAGGAATCCACAAACGCATCGTCACTGCTGTCATCCTCATGTTCTTCATCTTTAACATCATCATCATCAAGCAGCGGCGTGTCTTCATCGCTGTCTATGACGACAACGGGAACGTCGGAATCAGGAGACGCCTCCTCCTCTTCATCAGCAGCTTCATCAGAGGCCTCCTCCTCTTCATCAGCAGCTTCATCAGAGGCCTCCTCCTCTTCATCAGCAGCTACAGCTTCTTCTTCATCCTCCTCTTCATCAGCAGCTGCAGCTTCTTCTTCATCCTCCTCTTCATCAGCAGCTGCAGCTTTTTCTTCATCCTCCTCTTCATCAACAGCTGCAGCTTCTTCATCAGCAGCTTCTTCTTCATCCTCCTCTTCATCAACAGCTGCAGCTTCTTCATCAGCAGCTTCCTCTTCATCCTCCTCTTCATCATCAGCTGCAGCTTCTTCTTCATCCTCCTCTTCATCAACAGCTGCAGCTTCTTCATCAGCAGCTTCTTCTTCATCCTCCTCTTCATCAACAGCTGCAGCTTCTTCTTCATCCTCCTCTTCATCAGCAGCTGCAGCTTCTTCATCAGCAGCTTCTTCTTCATCCTCCTCTTCATCAGCAGCTGCAGCCTCCTCTTCATCAACAGCTACAGCTTCTTCATCAGCAGCTTCCTCTTCATCCTCCTCTTCATCAACAGCTGCAGCTTCTTCATCAGCAGCTTCTTCTTCATCCTCCTCTTCATCAACAGCTGCAGCTTCTTCATCAGCAGCTTCTTCATCCTCCTCTTCATCAACAGCTGCAGCTTCTTCATCAGCAGCTTCCTCTTCATCCTCCTCTTCATCAGCAGCTGCAGCTTCTTCTTCAGCCTCCTCTTCATCAGCAACTGCAGCCTCCTCTTCATCAGCAGCTGCAGCTTCTTCTTCATCCTCCTCTTCATCAGCAGCTGCAGCTTCTTCTTCATCCTCCTCTTCATCAGCAGCTGCAGCTTCTGCCTTCACTTCTTTTTCATCTTCTTCTCCTGCCTCCTCTTCATCATTCTCAGCCTCTACTGCAGCAGATGGAGGAGCTTCATCATCTTCATTCTCTTCAGGTTCTCCAACTTCCTCCAGTTCAGCTCCTTCATCCTCCTCTTCCTCTCCTTCCTCCTCCTTTTCCTCCTCCTTCTCTTGGACGTCTCCTTCCAGCTCCTCTTCCTCAACTTCTTCAGATTCTAGTGCTTCTTCTTCCTCTTTCTCACCTTCTTCTTCTGCTTCCTCATCTTCTGCTAACTCTTCTTCCTCCTCCTCTTCTTCTTCAACTTCTTCAGTGCTTACTTCTTCCTCTTCCTCATCTGCTTCTTCCTCCTCTTCCTCTTCTTCTGCTTCCTCATCTTCAGCTAACTCTTCATCCTCCTCATATTCATACTCCTCCTCATCATAATCCTCTTCATATTCCCCTTCATCATACTCCTCCTCTTCCTCCTCTATTTCATCTTCATACTCCTGGTCCTCAGAGGCCTCTTCATCCTCTTCTTCCTCCTCTTCCTCCCCCTCAGAGGCCTCTTCTTCCTCTTCCTTTGCTGCTTCTTCTGCCTTTTCTAATTTTGTCTGAACTTGCATTCCTATAACTGTAAAAATGCATAAGGTATAATAATAACAATAATAATAATAATAATAATAATAATAATAATAATAATCAAGTCCATATTACGATATTTAACTGATGTGCCATTATAACAACAACAAAAACAAGTGAAACAAATGCAGAAATTTGATGGAAGTTTGTATTATGTATTTAATTTAGGTGCTTCTTGTATCAGTGCAGGTATTTCAGATGTTTGCTTATGCAGATAGAATGAGAAACACATTCAGGGAACATACCTTTACTTCTTGCCGGTAAAAATTCTCCTACAAAAGCAAATAAAACATTTTAAAAGTCAATCGAGAAACAGGAACAATGAAGTCAAAGGGTTGATACTTTTTCAATCTAAGTAATTGGAACATTTTGGAGGGAGATATTAAGTGTCTAGTTAATAATGACCAAGGATGAAAAAACACAACTATTAAAAGAAAGTAGAAGAAGAAAAATCTCCTGTTTTTATCTCCGTTAGTTGTTATGGCAAAATCCAAACTTCACCCAAAAAACTCAAGTACCTTTTGGTTTCTTACTCTTCACCTGACCTTCCTCCTCCTCCTCCTCCTCCTCATCCAACCATCTTGACTCTTTGAAATGGTTCATAAATAAAAGAAGCTTAGATGTAAAAGTTATGTGTATTAAATCAGAGGTTCCCAGCCCCAATTTGACCTGCTAAATGTGTAGTGTCTCCAAACTTATACTTGCTGCAAATCAAATTATATAAACACAAGTCAAAAACTCATGCATGGCTTACAGCCTTCTGCTGTCATGTTGTAATTGTTTTATTAGCATTTTTTGTATAAATTATTCAAGCTACAAGTTGTTTCATTGTATTTTCGTTGGGATCATCTGGGATCCAAACATTTGGATCCCAGATGTGAAGTTTTTCCTGTAATTCTCCAACTTTATTAGATTTCAATTTCAAGAAGCTAACTCCAATTTTAATCTTAATTTTGCTACATTTCACTGCTTTCTAGAAGCTAAAGATTAGATTAGGGTGATGGCAGGGAGGCCTTCCAGACAAAAAGATGTAGAGTGCATTTCCAAAAATAAATTATAAATTGATGAAAACGTGAAAAAATCTGCTAATTTCTGAAATACCATAAAAAGGTTTATGAATTATAAATTCCATTTATAATTTGCCACATTCCATTTTGCAATAAAACTTTACAAAAACATATATTCATATTGTGATTGCATAAAATGTATTTTAAATTCCAAAATCTGCTGCTAATTCCCTGTTCCTAATTCCCAGAAGCCAAATTTTACCTTCTGTGTTCATTTGTTTGTGTGAAGCACAAACAAATGAAAATCTACCTGCTTGACTCAGGATTAAGAATGAATGACTCGCTATGAAGTTGCCGAAGTACAAACCTTTTTTCCTCACTGCATACAGCATTCCTGCAGAGGAAGATAAAAAATATGTACCTGGATAAGAAAACATTTTTTTTCAAACATGCTTGAATAATATAAAATATGGTTCCTATTTTTATTAAAATGCAATGTGTAATTTGTGTGTTGAAGAACTCGGTGTACCTTCTTCTTCGTCTGGAGCAATGAGGTTCGCAGCGAAACTGAACATGGCGCTAATAATGTTTGTTGATTCGTCCACAGCATCGTTCACCACCTTGACAGGATCTGAACCGAACTTACTGAGGCCTCCTGGTGGAGCACAGACGTCAACAAGGCAAAGGACACAAAGATTTCAGCTTATATTCATCAATATTGTAACTAAACTCAATCATTTCAAACAATCAGAGTTTCTGTATAAGCAATGTTTCCTTCAAGACAGACAGTTCCACTTTGAGCGGTTAAACTGAAAGTGGGGCAGCAAGAACTGTTAAGAAATGGATCCTAAAAAGTCATGGGAGGTAAGGGTAACCCATCTTCCAGTTTAACCTCCTCAGGACGCATTCCAACATAATGCTGCATAAAGAAGCATTTCAGAAATCCTTCAAGTCCTCAGCCATCAGCTTCAGTCAGAAACTGCTTTGTATGTAGCAGGGATTTCAGAGGAGCTTGATTAACCCAATCAGGAATCAATAATCAATGTGACTAATAGGAATCAAGCTCACCTGCAGTTCAATTATTTCAAAAACCCAGAGTTTCTTTTTTCAGATCAAACTTCATTCATGAGTTTTGTGAATATTTGAACCAGAAAAGTTCAGAAAATAAACATGAGAAAACAATGCAGACAAGAGCATTTAAAAATAATCTTCATATGACTGGACATATTTATTCAGTAGTTTGCCAACTTACAAACTAATGAACAGTCAATAATTAGTGTGCTATTATTGTAGTTGAAAAATCTGTTCCCCTCCTCACCTGTGGTGGCGCTGCACACAAAACAAGACAAAACAAGACACTGAGGAGCTGCCTGATTCACAAAATGAAAATAAAAGTGGACTGGGGTCATTTCAGCGGTTGTTGGATTTATTTTTTTCTCTAGCAAAATGACAACATTTCTCACACTAGCTTTAGGCTCTAACTAACATTTGTTTTGATTGCATTTACCTAGAATGCCTTGCACTACAGTCTGCTTCCTTCTTTTGGAACGGTTTCATTCTGTCTCTCTAAATTAAAACTCAACACCACAATAACTAGAGACTGTTCATTTTTTTGTAGGTGAGCAAATGCACAAAATCAGGACAGAATCAAATATTCATTTCTTCCGCTGAAGCTAAACATCCAGAATGCAGCTAAAGCCCAGAAACTGCTTGTAAATGCATCTTCTATTAAAAACAGAGGGACTAATCTGTGTGCAGCTTTGTTTTATTGTGACATGAAGCCATTAGTAGTTTTAGAAGAAGCATTAGGGATCTGCTAAGTTAGCTGCGGGTGAGAAGTCTTGCCTCTGCGCCCTGAACTCTTTAAAACCTTCCTGATCCCAGCAGGAGGCCGATCTGGTTGGATGAAAAACAGTGACGATGAGTAAAAACGTTTAGTGAGAAAGGAAACCAACATGATGGTTTTACAAACATTATTATTGATGTGTACATTAATTTGCTTTGTGCTGTCAGTGTGAATTAAAATGAAATGAAACAACTAAAATCAGTTTCTTGTGAGTCTTTCTGTTAGAGATGAATAAAATTTTCAATAGTAGTGTTAGAATAGAAAACCCTGTTATAATGCAATTATTCAAATAGTATGATTTGAATATTATTCATTTATTATTCTAATGTAATAAACAATGATGAGAGGTTACACAGCCTGATTTAATGGCTTTAATTTGATAAAATTGAGAAAAAAAATTCCAGGTGAATTATTCCTGCAAATATTAAAATTGCCAGCTTCTCCCTGAAGTTAGCAAGAAATTAAGGATACTCTATAAAACATATAATAAAGACTGAAAGAGATTTATTTCTTCCTTCATACCCAAATGAAATAAGTTTTCACATAATTCCAAACATTAATGCTCATAGGTAAATGCAATAATTGTTTTTATCCAGTTTTTTAAATTGCTTTAATCTCACCTGAAGTGCAAAACAACACAGAGTTTAGTTTGTGACTAAAGGTGAAGTCAAACTGGAAACAAAAATAACTAAATCTAAGAATTAAAATAATGGATGAACCACAGAGCATCAAATTTATTCAATAAGTTCAACGTCATAATTCACCAAATATTCACCATTCTTCTTCTACCTGCAATGGTCTTATAGTCGGCCACATCAAACATGATAATGAACACGCATGTCCAGGTGATGATTAGGGCCAGAACCAGGATCCAGGCCAGAGGGGAGCTGAACGTAGAGTACAGGTCGTCTGTGAACGCTTTCTTCGACGACCGGAGAGTCGTTGAGCCGGAGTCTCCGGCCTTCCCGTCAATGACCATGGTGGTTGTCACTGACGATCGAGCTGAAGAAAACAAATAGTCACATCAAAAAATAAACATAATATCAAAAATATCTGCTGGATCACATGGGACAAAAAGTAGGAAAAAAAATCTAGCAATGATTTTATTCTCTTTTATTTTGTTCCCTGTTGTGATGAAGGTCATATAAATCATGATGCAGAAACTATTTTATACAATTCAGGATGTTATTAACTGTTTAAGCTAAATTTGAATAAACAGAGACTCTAAACAAAAAGAAGAAAGCATCTCTTAAGGATCAGACCTTGATGTTTGAACATTTTAGTTTTATTTGTGCTTCTGGTTTATAATCACTTTGTTATTATTTAGTTAGGTCTTTCATTTTAGTTTATTCTTTCTGTTAGTTTATATATTTGTTTCCTTAGATTAGTGCTTCTTTCTGTTTACTATTGAAGTCAAGTTTAGTTATTTTTCCATGAAGTTTTCTCCTCTTTACTTGTGACTCATCATTTCCCTCAGTCTGCCATTCTGCTCCCCTTCCCAGCTGTTCCTTATTCCCTCATTAATCTCTGCCTGCTCCCTTCACCAGCTGCATCTACTCACCTGTGATTAGCTCTCCTGGTTCTCATGTCATCAAAAAAGTAAATTATGAGAACATAATTGAAATAATAATAGAATAAAGATGTAGCATGAGAATACTGTACGTTATAAGTGTAATACTTTATGCTATACTTTATGAGAATAATGTTGTACCAGAATAAACCTATAATATTTCAATAATAAAGTCAGAAAATAAAGCAGTAATATTTCCAAAATAAAGTCTCAACATTACAAGAGTGAAGTCAAAATAATGCAGGAATAAATTAATAACGTATTCTCAGAATAAAGTCAGAATACTTGGATTATTAAAACAATATAAGTAGAATAAAATCTCCATATTACGAGAATCATGTCACAATAAAATAACTTTATTCTTGTAATATTATGGCTTTATCCTCTGAATTTTATTATTTTTATTTTCTTAGCCTGGCTTGAATACTCCGTCATTTGAATGAGTTTTTATTTTTTTATAATCCTGGTTTTGCAGACTTCCTGCATTCTGCATTGAGCTTTACTTTAATTCACATTTGCTTCTAGCTGTAATTTCTTTTGTTTTGGTTTTCTTTGTTTTGTTTTTCTAATTCGGGGGGAAAAGAGTAAGAGAGCAATAATGAGGCAGTTGTGGTTTCGCTCTGTGGTTTTCACCAGTTAGACATCCTTAATTTGCATTTTCGTTCCTAAAAAATGGCTCCTGGCTTCGTGGCGGGATCCCAATCAGCCGTTTACACTGCTGTGTGTCTGTCAGACGAGCTGAAGCCACCTGTTGACTCTCCTCAGCTCACTGCTGGCGGCGACTGCAAGCTTCTTCATTACTGCTGACTAAGAAAGCTTAGCAGCTCTGAGCACAAACCACAATCCAGCCTCTGCTCCCATTCGACCGGGATGGAGTCTGGACACCAGCTACAGGATGGCAGCAATCCTCCCGCAATCAATAAATTAATCAATTATTGAGCTTTATTTTGTAAATAAAACGACACAAACACATATAAAACTATAAATAAGATATTAAGAAATGTTCATAACCTGATGGTGAAGACTAATGAGAGGAATCTAAAAGTTTCTGTCTGAACTTTGCCAACTTTAAGATGCATCACAAGGGACAAAGATCCAAAAACATGTTAATCTGTTAAAAAAGTCGGTTTCTAAGTACTTTAGATGTCACTGGAGTTTTCACTTCAACAAATACTGATATGCTCTGATCTCCATGTCAACTCACAATCTGTTGGTACCCAAACGTTTCACAGCTGGAAGTATTTCTTTGGTCCTAAAGTCTCGTTGAACTCGATGCATTTACGAAAATTATAGTGAGCAAAAGTTTATGGAAACTATGTCAGACCTTGATCTTTTTATTTACTCAGATTAAACTCCAACTTCAACCAGATACTTTTGTCATAAGTAATAATGACGTGTTGAATATCCTTGGTGTACAAAGCAAACATAACAGATTGTGTTTTTGTAAGAAAAATAAATATTTATTCAGACTCCTACATCCTTTTGCTATTTTTGCATCACCGACTCAAATGTCCAGCAATTCGGAGTTGATTCCAACAGACTTCTTGGTGTTGGATTATGTATTGTTTTAAAAAATATTGTCTAATCTTATCTTCTTTCAAAGACACTGCATAATATTTGTAAGGTTCTTCAGATGAAAATATCAGGATCATGGATTGTTTGAGTTTTTTTATGTTTGGTTCTTCCTTTGGTTTGTCGTTCTTTTGTATTTTGTCATTTTTCTCTTTGCTTATCGACTCCCTGCTCCCTTCTTGCCGTCTCTCTCTCCCTCAGTCTGCCTGCCTGGTCTCCCCTCACAGCTGAACCTTGTTTACAATCAGCCATGTGTTCGCTATCCAGCAATCAAGCTCCTTCGTACTAAAGCTGCTCATTTTCTTCCAGTCTCTGTTGGTGTCAAGGTTTTGCCCTCATACTGCTGTATTTGTGTCTTTTTATTAATAGTATAAATCTCATCATTTTTGGGTTTTTCTATAACCACGGCAGAAAATGCTGTAAGGCATGTTTCAATGTCATGATCAGTATGATTGGTTGCTTTATTGACATATATAGTTAAAGATGCTGATATTTATTTACCTTGAACTTCTTTTGAGGAAATTTTGAGCTTTCAGAAATGGCCTTCCTGAAATCAATGCTTTTGTTTTCAGATGACCTCTCAACCTCTGACCTTTTCATGCAAGCTTGGCTAAGCACCAGTTTCTGAAACCTGCTTTAAAAGGCTTGTTCAGTCATCCTCACATGAATCCTCTAGTTTACAGCTAATCTGTCTCCATCTATGGTTCCTACAATCTTACCAGGTATCAGTCATAGCCCACTAAGATTGTCTGCAGTGTTGTCAAAGTAAACCTGAGGAAATGATCAAATATTCCTATAAATACAACAAAATGCATTGCTATAAAACCTAATAATTGGTTTATCTATTTATATCAATATTATTAATCTAGTCTGGGATGAAATATTAGGTTTATTATGTTCTGTCAGTCTTTGATTTTCACCAAAAAATTGATCTATTAACTCTTTGAAACTGTTCAGAGTTACAAACTTCATATATTTAAGAGTTTTTGTCATGGGGATATGAGGAAGAAACATTTCAGTGCATGTTAATTTACAGATTCTGTTCAAATTTAATCAGTTATCTGGAAGCACAATTTATTAAGATACATTTTTAAAGAAACAAGATTCAAGCTCTATAGCTGCAAGTCTGCAAAGTCAGTCATTTTCCATCTGAAATTAAAAATTCAGCAGTAAAATCTTTAAATTTCAACATTTAATCCAATCTAATGAAAGCCATTATTTTTGCAGTTTTATAACATTTATGGCAAAAAAATAAATTTAAATGCTTCTTGACTCAAAGTTATCCTCAGTGATGTAGTTCATCACCAAGATCCAATTAGTTATTTTTAATCACACAGACATAATAGAATCATCTGATTTAGTAATGAAATTGGAAACTTCTCATATGTTGGCATTTGTGGGAGGAATTCAGAGTAAATTTTGAATTTAAGTTTTCAATGAGCCTGACTTCCTGTGTGCTATGATTGGATAAAGTAGAGAAATTAATTTTCAAACAGAAACACTTCAGCCATGTTTTATGATCACATTTCTTCTCTAAAGCGTGTTGTCAAAGCTTCACAGTGAACTTTAGTGAAACAATTAAAACTGAAAAAGTAATTAAAGAAATACTTTCATAATATTTAACAAGATTGATGAGTAGATTAAACGTCTCACTGCTGAACATGTACTTCTTAATTTTTGGACCTTTTTTGACCATTAAATAAATGTGCTCACTCAAAAGTTTCCCATTTATTTATTTATGACGGTATCTTAAGGCTTATTGCACAAATTTGAGATCTGCAAACAGACGTGAGCTGTGGTTTCAAAACGAAGTTTAATCCCAGACATTGACTCAATCTGGTAAAATAAGAAAAAGTAAAGTCATGCAGTATCAGGTGACATGACTATTGGCGACAGTGTTGATAGTGACCGAGTCCTGCATAAGAGCTGCCAGCTGCTTATTCCTAAAACACTTTTTAAATTGAATAATTTAAAACATTTTTGTCATGTGAGCCAAAATTGTTGAACTAAAAATACTTAGAGATCAAGAAAGTAACAACATATAAACTAAAATTAATAATGTTGTTGATCTAAAACTTAAGAAGTTTGAAAGTTGGTGGTATTAAAAGAAAGAGATTTATTATTAAAATCCTCTTAGGCTCAATTAAACAAATTTGTTCTCAGTTATAAGAACAGAAATTGTCACTTTCTTTCCATTTGCTTTCTATATTTAACCAAACTTATTAAATTATCTAAAGGTTGATTTGGACTTCTCAGTAAAAGTCTCTGAATAAACCTGGTTCTAATTGTTATAAAAGCTTGGATATAAAAAATAAATAAATACTTTTGCTGTACTTAACATTATGTTCATCAATAATTTTACCCTGATTAAAAATCTAAAGTTTAATAAATAAGTTTGTATCAGTCTCGAAGTGCAGTTGGGGCCACAAATGGCCCCTGCGCCACAGTTTGGACACCGATAGTTTAATTTATAAACAACAAAACTTTTGCCAGAGCAAATTACAGAAGGTAGATTTTTCAAACTGAGATGAAACTTTACCTTCAGCTGCTTCTGTCATACTTGCAGGATTAAAATCCTTGTGAAAAGGAAATCCTTCAGCAGATTATGTTTCCATGAAGACACAACACTGGGATTTCCTCTGAACGATTTAATCCTACCACGTCTTCCAGTGGGAAAAACTCTTAAGCCAAGACTCTTCTTTGTAAATTAGAACTTTGTTTCTTTTATCAAAAAGTCCAAATATTTTCTAATGTTGGTCTTTAATGCTACAGGAGAGGAAAAGGCTGGAGAGGCAGAGTGACGGAGACCAAGTTTAGACAGTTTTTGCCCTTTGGCAGGTTGGGCCTGGGATTGCAGATACAGCAATCCCCCCTCCTCCATCCGACCAGCTCAGACAGAATTAGCCTGGCCACTGGGACCGCTGCACTGATCCAAGCAAAAGGCAGAAGAGAGGAGAGGTAACTTTACCCCACCGGCCCGTGTTGCTGCACCATGTGACCACAAGGTGTCCACGGTGTTAATATCTTTTAATGTAACATTTTTTCCATGAGTTTGATGGAAAAATTCAGCTGCCAGCTGAGAAACTGTGAACCTAATTGGTGCTGTTGCATTCACGTGGCATTCAGAGACAGAGATATTTTTAGCGGGGGCTTCTGCTGCTGCTATTCTGCTTCGCCTTTTAAGGCCAGAGGTGTGACCCCACTGATCACTCTGCAGCACACCAGACCTCCTGTGCTCCAGCAGGGCTGTCATCAAGTGGTGAGCACAGCAGAGCTCAGATTGTGGAGTAGAAATGGAAATGGATTTCAATGCCGTCATGGTTGAGAAAAGAAACAATCAGATGGTTAAAAGTGAGCTATCATGCTTCATTGAACATGTTTGGATGAAACTATTGGACATAAAAAACATGTTCATTGCAAATTTATGCAGAAAATCATTCTCAGATGATGAGATTTCAATCTGCTAGTTTTTGCATATTTTCAGCTCCTTTCAGAATGAGCCGTTTTAGTGCCACTGTCACTTTAAATCCAAATAACCTGCTGCTGCTCACCTAACTCAATGTTTACACTCAATGCCATGAAAATGGCTGCAGAGAGATGCAAAATTACAGCAATCTGGAGGTTTTTGAAATGGCTTGCTTTCCAGACACCAAGGGAGACGAATCTATGAATGTGACAGAAAGAAATGCTAAAGGAAGTTTGTGATTGTAGGTTTTTCTCTGTCTTGCACAAATACCAATACCATTTACTTTGTTGAATCTATTGATTCAAAACATTTGGTGCAAAAGACGTCATCCTCATACGTCTGTCACTACATCCATTGTCTTTCATTCTCCACAATCAGAGATTCAACCGTCAGTTTTCTTTAGCAGCTTTTAGCTCCACGTTTCTTTTCCTGCAGTGTCTCAAGGCAATAATCCAGATATCTTCTTTTCTTAGTCGTGCAGATTAAACTCTCTGCTCCATCCTATTTGTTACAGTCAGCTCTACCTTCTCCATGTCCCTGGAAGCAGGTCAACATTTTGGTTTTGCCCAAACACAGATTCAAGGGAACTTAAATTTGTTGGCTTCACACTGTACTAGTGAATCTGGACAGTGTAAATATGTTAGTCAGAAACTGATGTTTATATATGTGAAATATATTAGAAAAATAAATAGTAAATAAATTCAAAATTTGGAAAATCCTAAAAAACAGTAACATCTTGTTACTGTTTTTATCAGGTAAGCTGAACCTTACCTGATATTTTTTGGTTGCAAATCAACAAAAAATGAATAAATTTTGCAAAACAGAACTGATATTCATGTTATGTTGTTTTTTAGGTGTCAGTGTGAACAAGACAAACTTTTACAAAACAACACGAAGCTGATTTTTCAAAGACTTGATGGATTTGCTTTGTTTTTTTCCAGCCAGTTTAACTGAATGTCTTCTTAAGGTAAAGTAGCAGAAATTCTCCAAATGATTACTGGCAATAAAACGACGAAAGTAACTGAACAGCTGAGGAGAGGAATCTTTAATCCTAAAAGAAAAAAACACAAGCAGTCAGAAATGAAGTCTCAACAGTATCATTCCTCAAGCATTTAACATACAATCACTAAAAAAAACATAATTTAAAGTTAAACATAAACCACTTTAAATTGCTGCGATAGCTTCACTTCCCAGGATGGATTATGTTCCTGTACAGAAGAATAAAAGATTAACATGTTCCACTTACTATTAAGGATGTTTTTCCAGCCAGCGTTCTGAAATGGCGAATAATAAAGACATTTATGACCACAATGAAGCTTAAATAATAATTTCTAAGGAAAATAATTTCATTGTCATGACGATATGGAATCAGACCAACAAACCTTAACAGTTATCCAAGAAATGGGCGTCTCAACAACCCTTTCAATGTCGGTCATGGAGTTGTTGTTGCGGTTGCATTTGAGAAGTTTTCCCTCATAAAACAGACAGTCCACAGTCAGGAGGACGTTGGGCTTCTGCACCTGCCTGCTGCTGTCCGCTACAATGAGGCTGGGGTTGAAGGTGTGATGCATCACCACCAGAATGGCTTTTTTAACGTCTGGAATGAAGACGGGAGGCCAGTGGTTTAGAAACGACCAGGTGGATGAATATCATCATCCAGTTTTAACAAACAAGTGAAAAGCTTCTCAATGTTTCTAAATTTGTTACTATTATGATTAAGTGCCAGTCAGATGTTCGCTCTTCAGATCTTTCTTCAGTTTTGTCTCTTTCTTCAGTTCATTTTGTCTTTTTCGCTCCGTCTCTTCATCCATGTGTCTCTTCAGCTCTGTTTCTATTTAACCATCTCCAGTTTGTTTCTCTGTTGAGATCCAGTCAGTTGTTTTTAAGCTCCTTCATCTCCGTCTCTCTCTTCAGCTTCATTCAGATTCGTGTCTCTGTTCACCTCTCATAACGAACTGCTGGTGAATTCATTAGCTTTCACTCAGAACAATAGCTGTTTTGTAATGTAAATGTTTTACATTTCTTTAATATGAATGTATTTTCTTAAGGCAGTTTATTATTGCTTATGTAACTTGAATATAAAAAAGACAAAGCTGAACCTTACCTGATATTTTGCTGAGGGTCTCGTTGATGTCGGTTCCAACACGGGATGCGATTGGACAGAAAACCAGGAGGTAGTCACATTGTTCAAATGAGTCCGCCTCAGTTTGGCCGATATCTTTCAGCTTTTTAACTATGGGCTGATGAGCTCCGTTTGTTTTTCCAGACAAGACGACAAAGAATTTTGTTCCCAGAGCTGAAGATGAACAGACAAGCTTGTTATTCAGCTCATTACTGGGATCATGATGGAGAAAATATATAAATTACATCAACTACAGATCCAGATAAATTTCAAAAAGGAGAATTTATGTTTTTCTTATAACAATACAGAAGAAAACCTATTTATCTTTATAGCTAGCGGTTATTGTATTTATTTTGAAATAATCTCCACTCCGTTGCAGCTGTTCTTGTGTACACTTATTATGCAGAGCCACCTATTTCATTTTCTCAGTGCAAGTTCATTCCTGTCTATATCAAACATGGTGTGGAATAAAAAAGGCTGGCTGCTTTCTTACCTACTGGATAATTACACATATTTGCTAATACAGCAACTTTATGCTGGTGTTCAGTGAAGCTCATTGCATATTTTACAGTTTGCTCAAAATCTGGAGCCATAAAACAATTTACTCCTTAAATTGCTGAAGGAAAGACTGTTAGATATATCCTGTTAGTTACCTTATTTAATAAAAAGAAATAAATCTTACCTGCATATTTTACTACAGACATGTCCCTGTGGAGAGATAAAGACATTGAAACATTTATTTCAGTTTAAAAAGGTCTGAGATGAGCTAGAGAAGTTCAGTCATGAACCTCTGTGTTTTATCTGCTTCATGTGTGTATTTGAAATAATCTGACCCATATCTGTGTGGAACAAGGAAAACATGACGACTTAAAGATGATTACTTACTCAGTTTGTTGATGCTGATATCTCCTTCCCGCCCTGTAAAGACCCGTACCGTTTTGAATGTCGCTTTCTGCGTGATCCTGAAGAGAAAGTGCAACTAGAGTGCAGGAAGTCTTGCAGCAGCAGTGGGGACGAGTTACGGCTTGCAGGTCAAAACTATGCAATAACGACGTGTCTAACCAGGTAATCTGCAGATCGGGTCATGATTTTCCTGTTTCCTATCGTGATTCATTCTGCTCATCTGTTTACTGCCCCTCCTGTGCCTGCTGATTGCTGAAGGATCTCACCTGTGATCCTGCCTTAATAAACTCCTGCAGTGCAGTCATCAATGCCACAGCTTTGGAGCGTTTTCATGTCCATGTTCTAGTTCTCTATACAGTCCTGTGGGTGAAACAATCCCCAGTAAAAATGCTCTCTCTAGTCCTGTGTTTCCACACCTGACATCCGATAGACTTGGTTTAATTTGGGACCAAAATTGCTACAGTTCTCTTTCACATTGCACTGTGTTGATCAAACCAAAGCCTATAAAAACCTGATCCCCATCTGGCCTGTAGGGATGTTGCACCAAGAACCACAGAAGGAAACCACACGAAAACCTCTGAAGGAGACTCGGAGCGCAACTTCTCAAAATGCAAACAAAAACAAGAGTGACATCAGATTTTGGCAGTTGAAGGATTTTCTTTGGTAAAAAAAAAAAAACTACAAGCTGCTTCTCTCACTAGCATTGGACTTTTGTGTTTTGTAAATCAGTTTGGGATGATTCTGATTGTGTCAGCTTTTAGTTGGATTGTGTTTATTCAGACACTCTGCTTTTGTTTATGGTCAGAATCATATGTGTGAGTTTCTACCCACTGATAATATGTTCACTTTTGCAACATTTTTTATTTCAGTCTTTGGTGTTTTAGCAGCAAATTGGCTTTCAAAACTTGTTTCTAGACCAACTGTTTAAACTCTGATTTTTTTTATATATGATTATTTGTGAAATATAAACTGTATCTTCTTTTTCTTCAGGGCTGAAGGATTATGTGGTTGCTCCTGTTCAAATGTGATTAACTAGTTTGCTGCCATGCCTGCAGTTTCAGATTAAAGTTTCAGATCAAGTTAAGCTTAAAATAAAAAAGAAAACAGTTAAATATCCTGGCTAATGGTGAACATGGGTGGAACAAAAAAGCTCAAACAATTTTGTTGAAACAAATTATTTTACTGATGATGCAGTTTAATTTTAGGAATAAAGAGTTTTGGGTTTTTTTTTTGCAAAGTATCTCAAAGTAAAAGGTCAGCAGAGCAGCTGAAAGAAAAGGAAAAAAATCAATTGTTTTACATTTAGTTTTTTTCTAAAAGTGCTTTTAAAAGCAATAACTTAGAAAATATATTTATATTTTTCCAGAGAGTCCATTACACATATTTTCTGTGATCATTTTCTTTTTTGAGGAAACTTTTGTTGCTGATAAAGTGAAATTAAACTGTACCTTTAATTTGCAGGTTCTTTATTAACAATGCAAGAAATCATTACTTCTCTGATTGGATGATTTCAATCAGAGAAATTAATCCAATCAATAAGAGTGGCATGTTATTATGTTTTATGACGTCAAACTTTATTACTTGTGTCTAAAAGTGTTCTGCAACCACAGCTTCACTTCTCTTATTTTAACTCTTGGATTTAAAAAATATATAAAGGAAATGAGTTAGTAGAATACCGCATTTACAAAAACCACAGTGCCACCTTGTGGCCGAAACATGTGTTGATTCTTCCAAGCCAAATGCTTGTTATTGTGATTCTTCTGCATCATTTTCTATTCAATAAAAATCTATTTTTAAAGAAGACAAGAAAAGGTTTATTTCCTGGACCTGATTTGTTCAGAACCTTAAGACAAAATAATCAGCTGCTATTGAAAGTCCCTCGGACTCAAATTAAGAGAAAAGGAGATTATGGTTTCTCCATTGCTGCTTCCCTTCTCTGGAATAAACTTCCTTTCCAGATTAGATCTGCCTGCAATCTGGGTCATTTCAAATCGCTTCCTAAAACTTATTTTTATTTGTTGGCATTTAATTGAGGCCTGATACCGTAACTTTTCTGTTATGATGTTTTGTTTTGATTTTATTCACTTATTACTGTTACTCATTATTTATTTGTATTATTATTATTTTGACTCTTTCTCTTTGGATCAACTTATTCTATTGTGTAATTGTTTCTGCACAGCACTTTGGTTCAGTTTTCAACCTGCTTTTCAAAGTGCAACATAAATAAATTAATCTATTATAATGCAAACAAACAACATAATAATGACAGAGGTCATTATTATGCCTCATCATGAAACACTGAGGTAAAATAATTCTCCAACAAGTCCTACATCAAGTCGGTATTAAATTATCATGTTCTTAAACAATAGTGTCAAGAATTTGCATCATTGTGGTTAATTTTTATAGTATGAAAATATATGGAGAGAATTTTAATAGTTTATTTTTCTTTTATTGCAGGAGGTGTTGAGTTGTGAGAAGAAAATGCAACAAAAGAATAGAATAACCACTGAAAGCATAACTTTACAACTTTCATTTCTTTTTAATTTAAGAACAACATCCATCCATAGTTATAAAAAGTGATCAAATTTTCTGCCTTTACATCTTTTCATCCAACAATAAAGTTCTCATCCTATTAAGACGTTATGAATTATGCAGCTTCATGTTATTAAAGCTAAAGTTTAATCAGTAATACCTTTATAACAAATTGATATCAGATTATGATTTCTTGGTTAATGTCAAGTTGTCATAACAAATTATGTCAACTTTGTATTAAAAGTGTCATAATTTACCAAATGACACTTTATGACAACAGTCATAAATATTCATGAAGACTTATTCATGTTCCAGACAGTCTTATTCACAACCCGTCAAATAAAGTGTTTCCTAAATTTTCAGTTCGTCTGAAACATCTTCATAGGATGAGAACTTTTTAAAAGAAAGAATCGAATCAGTTTCTGCAGGTCAGGGATATTTATGTGTTGCAACCATGGAGATGGCCGTTGTGACAACAACTGCAGACCCAACAACGACAATGGCAATAAGTATGACATTTTTATATTTCTTTACACCTAAAAGCGAAAAAGAACAAAGAGTTATTTGGTTTGATTTGCTTTAAAGAAAAGCAGTTCTAATCAAAACATCACAAAGATCCAATAATGTCATGTAGTTTTGTTTTATGGTCTAACTTCAATTCTTCACGACAAACCAGTAATAAAGTATCAAATGAAGCTCCTCTAATAGTTAATGGTGACACTGTCACTGTTTTCATACATCTGTCTTGTTTTCAAGACAACTCTTAACTCCAAGACTGTTTGATGCTACAAATCTCAAGTTTTGCTGTTTCTTGACCAACCTTCGTAACTGGATTGAAACTGAAATCAGCTTCACATCAAATTTTAATTATCATTAACCCTTCATACATTTTAGACAAAACTCTGAGCCAGAAAAAGAAAAATCATAATTATTGGAAAATTTGTGGTTTCTGTCGCATTTACCTTTAATCAGAGATTGCAGGAAAGAGTTCTGAAAGACAGAAAACGGAGTGAGTGAAGTCATCACTCCACTGCACATCACTACATTAAAAATATCAGAGACAAACATATTTACCCTGGAAATACCGAGAAACTTCTGGATTTCACGCCATGATATGTCATTACGGCTACAGTTGAGGATTTTACCCTGATGGAAAAAGTAATCCACGGTGAGGCGGACGTTCTGGTGATGCACCTGCCTCCTGCTCTCAGCTATGATGTGGTTGGGGTTGAATGTGTGATGCATCACCACCAGAATGATGGGCTTGTCGTCTGAAAACACAGAGAACATGAACATAAAGCAAATAACATTGTCCTGCAGTTCCTTACAGACAGTTTTAACAGATCAATTTGACCCAGATTGGGTAAATTTTTCACTAATTTGATGAGTTTGATTACTTTATTGTCATGAAGTCACATAAAATCAAAAAAAATAAAAATAAAAATTCCTACATTTTTAAATGTTTCAGATCAAGTAAATTTAGAATTAGACAAAGAAACTGAGTAAATACAAAAAGACATTTTTAATCATTTTACTTATTAATTCAACATCACCTTGTTTGCAGTATAATTTGAAGGGTTTTTAGAATGAAGTGCTGCTTTAAAGCCAGGTCACCTTATCTCAATTAGATTTAAGTTTGTACTTTGACTAGGCCACTACTTATTTCCCTTTCTTGAGCCACTAACAGATGGACTTTCTGGTGTGTTTTTTTATTTTTAGTTTTTACAATAAAACAAGTCTGCTTTAGCACAAGATCACAAACTGATGAGTGAATAGTCTCCATCAATGTGAAGCAGTCTTACTCGGAGCCTTGTTGAGAGCCTCTGTGATGTCTGTCTGGACACGTGAAGCGATTGGACAGATCACCAGGACGCAGTCACAGTCTCTATGAGAGTAAACTTCAACTTGGCCCGCGTTCCTCAGCTTGCCAACAATGGAGTGATGAGCCCCTTCAGTTTTACCTGCTACTAAGACATAAAACCTTCTCCCACAGCCTGAACATCAACAGAAGCAAGATTCAGTTAGAACCAACACTGACTGTGGTACTTTATCTTATTTTGTGTTTTTCACTGTTTGTACTCCAGAGCTGTAATGATTCCTTACCTAAAGTGGATTATGAAATGAATTTGCAAACAAGAACGTTTCAAGAAATAAATCAGAAATACATTTATCTTCAACCTTGCACCATCTCTGAGCCGTATAAGTCAGCAAACAGCTAAGAATTTGTTGAGCTCAATTGATATTAAGTTTGCTGAGTGGAGTCAGGGCGTTTTCCTCCTTGCATAATATTTCCAGCTAATCCATGTCTGCAAAAACATGGAAACAAGGCTGAAGAGCAGACCTTTAATCCAGATTAAACACCATTTCAGGGCTCGATTCTGCTTGTGTTCACGGATCAAATCATAAACTGAATCAAAAGGGAACTGAAACAAACGTGTGATTCTTTTCTCTATTTCTGCACTCATTCACAGCTTTCTAAAATGTTTGTAATTTCCCTAAACTTCTGTCAATATCACAGACCAGCTCCAGTTTTCAATTATTGCTCAATTAGAAAGCAATAATCCAGTGAATACAAGCTTTAGTTTGCATTGACCTTCTACTCAAAGGATAGAAACTAAATGAAAGATGCCATAAATACATACTGTGAAAACATGAACAGGTCATAATCATATTTATAAAATATTCCTTCAGGCAGTTGTTATTTTTTCTAAATAAAGCTTTTCTGATCAGTTTGAGGTAAACCAATCTTCTGTTTCAGTTGCTAAACTCTGAATATAGAATCCTCGGTCATATCTGCAGGTTGGATATTTATTTTAAAGTTCTCCGGTTTTTGCAGCCGCGGCGCTGTGTGAACCTGCTGCCTGCTGTGGCTGAAAACTAAAGAGCTCAAACCCTGAAACAAAGAAACGGCAGAAGCCTCCAAAACAGGAAGGAAGTTGCACAGTCACTCATAACAACCTTGACGCTTGAGTGTGCGTTGTTCCACCAACAGACGGTCGTTATATGCATAAAGTGTGTGTGTCTGTGTGTGTGTGTGTGTGTGTGTGTGTGTGTGTGTGTGTGTGTGTGTGTGTGTGTGTGTGTGTGTGTGTGTGTGTGTGTGTGTGTGTGTGTGTGCGTGTGTGTGTCTGTTCTGAGCGCCTGTTCTGAGTTTAATCTGTAAACTAGGTCTCCTCACCAGTGTCACGCTGCTGGGACATGTTTCTGGATGGAAAGAAAGAGACAAAGTGACATTTGAAAATGAAAATATGAACATGCAAAGGAAACCACCAGTAAGTATGTCGTTACAATCAAAGGGGAATCAGCTGCTCTGCACATACATTCACTGAGTCAAAAAAGCAGAAAATACCTTCCAGTGGTTTCTCTTCGACGCATCCGAGACTCAATGAGGATTATCCTAAACTATTACAGACATTTACCTAATAATTGTTGCTTCTTGTTTTTCTGGTTCGTCCTCTTACTGTCAGAGAAGCACTTTTACTTTCACTTTGAGCTGGCATGACTTCAAAATAACTACAAAGGCAGAGGTATTGCTTGGGCGGGCAGACCAAGTGTGAGACATAAGAAACAGGAAGTTAATCTGCTGTATAGTGAAGTGGAAATTATGTGTTAAAATGTGACAAAATCCCCGGGCCTACATACCTGACCTGAGGAGAACAGTTTTAGAAAAAGAGAAGACTAAAATAGTTATGACAGAGAATGCTGGTTGATTTTTAATTCTTTACATCCACCATGAGTTTTTTAAAATATTCTTCTTCATCAGTTTAATTTAGTAAAAATAAATATTTTTAACCCGGCAGAAAAATAAGAGCAGCTTCTGCAGAGCAGCATCTGAGAACCATAATCTCTGTGCTGCTCACTGCTGCTGCTGTCGTCATGATGCTCGAACTTCAACTGAATCACTTTCACAATCCTTCTCAGCACAAACACATCAAGTTCTTTTTTTTCATCATTTAACTCGTTGAATGTTTTTCCCATCATGACTGGTGCTGTAGTGTTTGCATCTCTCTTGCAAATGCGCTACAGTGAAATAAGAAAGCAGTGCGGAAAACAAAAGAAAAATGAAACCTAAAAAAGAAAGCATATCCATAAAGTTAACAGTATCTGGAATTTATATCTTAACGGTGACCTATTGTGCTTCCTTGAACAGGTTAGGATGGGCTCACACAAAACATGTTCATTACACTTTTTGCACAAAATCATTCTTAGATGAGGAGATTTTAATCTGCTCAGTTCTGCCTGTTTTCAGCCGCTTTAGGGCCTCTGTCACTTTAAATCCAAATATGCTTCTGCTGACTACGCCCGTTTACGCTCACACATGAAAATAACAGCAAACAGATGCACAATAATGCATCTTTGAAAAGCAGAAGTAGAGCCTTGTGCACAACCAATAAGAAGCAAGAAGTGGCTTCTGAATGCTCAGTCAACAACAACCTGCTTCTTTTTTTCCAGCAGCCATTGTACAGCACATGTGGAAGTGAAAATCAGCTGACCAAACGTCCTGGAGCTCAGGCTTGGGTTGCTCAGTAACAGGTGGGACATTACATCTAGGAAGATTTTTGAAAAGGCTCATTTTCCAGACACCAAAAAAACAACTTATTGCAAAAATTGACTCTGTGTTCTTTTAAGAGCTTAGGCTGTTTCTAGAAGCAGGAAAATCCCAAATCAAAGTACAAAAACAAACAAAATGTGAACTTTTGCAGATTTTTGCCCATTTAAGAAAGAGATGTGTTTTCCTTCAGTCCAACATCAAGTTCTGCTAGTGATCCAAATTATCTGCCTAACATGAGTTCTGAAAAGAAAAATAGTTTTTATTTGACAAGTTTTGGGTCAGAATAAACATAAAATGTTAATATAAAAGTGCAGAAAATAATGAGACAGGAAAGTTCTTGATTTCCTCCTTGTTCTTACATTTACACTATTCCCTTACTGACAGAGTTTTATATTGTCTTAGCTTCTTCAGTTAAATTGAATAAAATCATGTATGAAGATGAAATATATTACCCATCCATTATCTAAATCTGCTAATCCATGCAGGATTGGGAGTGGAGTCCATCACATACAGATAAGATAAACAGCCTTGCATGCAAATACCCACAACTAAGGCTAATTTTGCTGAAAACCACTTAACATAAAAGTCTGATGGTTTGCAAGGAACTAAACTAAAACTCAGAATTCTGATTTTTTTTTTTTCTCAGAATTTGGACTTTAATTTTCTGAGATCAAAAGTCAAAATTCAGAGATGAAAAGTAATAATTCTTAGACAGAAGTCAGAATATATATTCGGTAAACTGAATCCTCCTGGTAGGGTTTGCATTGCGGAACGTCCCGCAGGCCCTGAACGCAGCAGCAGATGCGGGTCTTATTTGTTCTCTCCAGCAGGAGGAGGGCGTTCCGCTCAACACCACACGCATCCAGTGGCTGTTACATTTCTGCGTGTGAGTGCGCTGGTCCATATGTAGGTGCAGCCGCAGCTTTAGGTTTTCTCCGAGTTCATCCAGGGACCGGGCCTGTCCTTGATGTTAGCCCGCCTGGCGGCTGCTCTGCCGGGGAAGAGGCGACAGAGGAGGCCGGGCAGGAAGACATGGAGGCTGGCCGTCCTTGCAGAGGGACTGGGCTGTAGGACGGTAGGCTCTCTGGTATTTCTTTCCCCGTTAAGAAACAATGAAAGGCGATCAGGAGCGGAGCCTCAGTATGGGGGAAAACGCTTCTCGGATGTCTGACACAAGCTCTGCTTTACTCGTTTTCGTCGTCTGAAATCCAAATCGTTTTGTTTTTTCTCTCTTTTATCCACCCAGACACAGATGGTGGTGGTCATTATTATTTATCAGCTTTGCAAAAACGGTTCTTTTTTTTTCTTTTCTTTTTTTGTTTGTTGCAGGTTTAGTGTAAAACGTCATACAATTCACTTTTTTAAATTGATTTATTTTAATTTTTTACATGTTTATCTTAGTGTTGTTGAAACAATAAGATTGGCCTCACAGTCACATCCATCTGAAAAGCTCACATGTCAGATGGGATGCAAATGCAGAGTGTAAACACAACAGGAGTGAAAGTGAATCATCAGGCTTTCATCACAACTTTTTCTGAAACAAATATTATGTCTTCTTAACCCTACTAAATTTACATACAAATATAATTTCTGAAATACTACAAAAAAATTAATATTCTGAGGGAATAATTTGACAAATTAACTTTTATAACGATGAATAGTGTGGATTTTTTCAAACTTTCCACACCTCATCAGTGTCATTCAGCACTCATTTCAAATGCAGATTTTGTTTCAATAGAAATTGGATTTTAAATCGAGATGATCCTCAGTTTAAATGTATATGATGACAAATGAAAGACATTAAAACATTTATTTTTCCATTTTATTTTGTAATTAGATATTTTAGATGCCAACAAACTTTGCATATTGTAATTTTTTTATATGAAGTTGCAAAAATGCACCACAATCCTGGTAATCACACCGGACAGTTAATGACTACGTTATTAATTTAAAACAAACAATAAGTTGTTTGTTTTCAATTATTTAAAGATTGAAATAAAAATAGTTTATAAATATATTCAAGTTTCTTGTTCATAAAAGAATGTATTTGCAATGATACAATATTGTTGTTGTAACCTAAGGAAAACTGTTCAATAAAGGCAACTAACTCCTAAAACTATATATTTTTAACGACATTTAAAAATAAATAGTTTTATAATTCCGGTCATAATAATAATAATAAATGAAGCAGGACTTTTAAATTACTTGGCTAAACGGAGATTGAACCTTTCATTTATCAGCAGGAGGATCTCCAACTGTTCACAGATGGAGATCCTCAGGGTTCCATCATTGGACTTGATTTATTTTTGTTATGTGTTCCTTTCAACTGCCTCAATTTGATTCTTTTCTTTATTACCACTCCTTTTTGATTATTTAATTAATATTTGTTTTTATAATTACTGTTTGTACATGGGTGTCAAATTTTTATGGAACTATATTCTATAAGGTACAAACTGAATAAAAGTGACATAAAAAATTATTTCCATTTCATTGAGTTTTCTTTCCTTTTGCAAACTATGTTCTCTCTCAATAATGTGTCATTATGATTTAATGGTTCACAATTCAAAATACATTTCTGTAAAAATTGCAAAACATTGTAAAAAATCTTAATTAATTTAAAATTAGAAATGATATTTTCCAAGAAAATAGAAAAATTCCTGGCATATTGAGAGTAATAACAATTGAAGTCCATGAATCTTTCTTCCGTTATTTCTATTTGCAGTGCTGATTTCTTCAGTGGAGGGGTTGGCTCTCATAGTATGGACCCCGCCCACATCAGAGGGGATATGTCACCTTTGTATGTGCCCAGGAAAAGGAAACCTGTCCAAACACAAGCCAGAAGTCCACCTCCATGTCCAGGTAGAGCGACAAAGAAGGAATTTATTTTTATATTTCTACATTTTGTCCAGCTAACTAAACTTACTTTGTGTTTTTTAACATCAGCTGTTCAAAGGTTTCCTGACAGACAAGGTGAACTGAATACGTTTGAAAATCCACAGGTAAGAAAGAAACGATTGCATCATGTTCCTTTTTCTATATTATCTCATTTATGTTCAGGCTTCATCCTCACAGTTCTGTTTGTTCTTTGCAGGATGAAGACACTCAAGATCAAAAAGATGTAAAGATGAAAAGAACTTGCAGCAAAAAAAGGCAAAATCTTTGAAATATAGCCAGATAGCAAATACAAGTGAATTTTTTGCAAGTATATATTTTTTTCTGACACAGAGCTTGAATCGCATTGTGGGTACAGAATGTGTTGCACTTCATCACAGGTGGAGAAAGTGAGAAGATATAAAAACACTTAAGTTATGCAGCTTATTTAATATATTTAGGTGAATGATTGTTTTTGCTCCCATTTACGTCTCTATTGCTTCTAAAAATAGCTCAACCTGTTACCTAGCAATTCCCGCAGAACTCCAGCATACTGCTATATGCACTGTACAATGGCTGCTGGCCATGACAAGTGTTTCGTTGACTTATTCAGAAACCACTTGCTGTATTCTTGTTGGTTGTGCAGGAGGCTCCAATTATGCTTATCAAAGATGTACAGTTGCATAATAACACATTGGCTTGTAAATGTTGAGTTGGGGGCGTGGCCAGCAGCAGCTTATTTGGATTTAAAGTGACAGTGACAACTCATTCTGGAAGGAGCTCAAATTAGGCGAAACTGAGTGGACTAAGATGTCATTATCTAAGAATGATTTTGTGCACAAAAGTATTATAATGTTTTGTATATACCAATAGACATTTCCTAACCTGTTCAAGGAGGCACAATATGTCACCTTTTACAAAAAAAAAAAAAAAAAAAGAGAAAACATTTCATTGTGACAGGTTTGTAGTATATTTATTTTGTTTTCATACCAGGTATGAGGACCTCCAGAATGTTTCCTTGGGATCAGTGGATTATCCGACCACCAGCTGCTCTGTGATGTCATCAGGTGGCCCGGCCAACGGCTCGGGTGAAGGGTCCGTAAACATGCCTCCAAGAGAGATGGGGAAGGACGTTTGGCCTGAAGGATCGGAGGCGAGCCGGGAGCCGCCACAGCCTGAGGAACAGACCTGGATCTCCAGCAGGGAGCGAGGCCCTGAAGCCTGGACTCCACGCAGGGAAGAACCCCAAACATGGATTCCTGACAGAGATAGAGGCCATCCCGGACCGGATCAGGCTTGGATCACGAGCCAGGAGCAAGGTCCTGAGTGTGGATGGGGGGCGGGGAGAAACCAAAGCCAGGATCAGGCCTGGAACGGTGGAAGGGATCCAGGAACAGACGGATCCTCCGCCGGACCAGAGCAAAGGTGGAGAAACGGCCGAAGCCAGGATGAGCAAGTCTGGCTCGATTCCTGTTTGAGCGACTCAAACAGGGAACGAGGAAACATCTGGAGACCCGGTAATCACCAGAATATATTTCTCATTTGCCACAAGAGCTACCTTGTTACATAAGGGATTTAATTATTTTCGTATTATATTTCAAAGACATGAACATGAAGAAGGTCCAGAGAGAAGTGGATCCAAGCCCTGTTGTAAATAACTTCCTTCCACCACCAGAGGGCAGCATGTCCTGTAGGTCTCCGTCCTGTCCAACAGGTTCAACTTTTTACAGAACAGAAGTCTGATTAGGATTCAGTTGAGAACACATTAAATTATAAATTTGACACAGTAATAAAGAAACTTATTTCACGTGTCTCAATTTTAGATGCAGTCAGTGTTGGTAGGAGCTCAACTGTCCAAATGAATGAAGATCAGAAACCCATCATTCTTCCAATCAAGAAGGAACCTCCAACCTACCCTCCAGGTGAGAACAGCTTAATTAAAAATAATCTGATTTTAGTTTTTTTATTAGTATTAAAACTAAATGTCACCTGCACATTCAAATTGCACTGGATCAAGGAAGTAGTCCTGCAGTTTGAAAAATAAACTTGATCCTTAAGTGTTTCTGTAAAATTATCCAAAACACTAATTAGATGCACAGATAATCTGTTGGTTTGGTATTCATCTATTTACGTCTCTGATAGTAAAACTTTCTTGTTATTCTTGCTGTGCTCCGTCTCCAGGAAGTCAAGAGGAGCGCTGGCAGCTCCAGATTGTGGCCAAAGGGAGAGTGACGTGTCCCAAATGTAAAAGTGTGAGCAGAAAAACTGTGGAGGGGCTGAAGAAACACATGGAGAACTGCAGACTGGTGAGGCTTCAAACACTGCCCTGAAAAATGGGTCTTATAGAAATTATATATGTCACATTTATATTCATACCACTTCAAACTGTGTCCCATTCCAAATGAAAAAATTATTGAATTTTATTGGGATTTCATGTGACACAACAAGAGTGGATGAGAATGAAAAGGATGATCATTTTTAATCAATAGGTTTCTCTGAAGTCTTTTTAGGTCTTTATTATTGTCCTTCCACTTTAACATGATGCACCAATTTGTGTTCGTCTACCATTTAAAATCTCAGTAAAACAGATTGTCTTGTCAATCTGCAGCAACCTTTCACTTGTCAGCACTGCGGGAAGCAGCTTAAATCCTCCACAGGGATGAAGTATCACATCATGGCTGACCACAGCAACCTGGTAAGATCGTTATTTATGTCCCTTTTATTTCTGTTACAGTATTAGCAGGGATGGTAGCTGTTTTCCAGTGCATGGCACACAACTTTCCAATAGTGATGTTTTCTTGATTGTGTATTTTAGGCCTCCAAAGTACACACTACATTGTAAAGTAAAACTGTTACTGTTCCATTGCTCAAAAAACAGCATTTATGCTTGTTTTAGTTTCATCTGCTGCAGTTTTAAAGTGGGTCATTGAGTCATTTATAATGCGTACATCATGTGCAACGGGTGTTATTTGTAAATGTGCTGTAACATCTGCAATGCCAGGATGCTGACATTAACTTTTCTAATCTTGACAGCCATCAGCTGATGACACCAAGGGCCTTGACGACCGCGCCATCAAAGACAAACTGCGTAAAATCCTGAAGAGACTGGGCAAACTGAAATGCTCGAAAGAAGTGAGGTGTTGATCACATTACAATTTGGTCTATTTTAACACCATAAAAGACTCACAAATACCTTTTATTCCCCAGGGCTGCACTGCTGCCTTCACCAGCATCATGGGATATGTGTACCACATGAAGAAGTGTGGGAAGGAAGAGTCTGAGCTGGAGAAGTTGCTGCTGAATTGCTCCCACTGTGGGAAAGCGTATAAATCCAAGGCTGGTCTGGAGTACCACCTGAAATCAGAGCATGCTCCTGTAAGTTGACTTTACACATTTACAGTAATTTGTCACTTCTAGTATTAGTTAACTAGAAACCTACTGCTAATGTTGCATTTTGATCAAGACTTCCACTCGTTTCTTCCAGACGCCCCAGAAGCCTGAAGAGGACGAGGCCCTGAAGGCCCAGATGGAGGCTAACCCAGAGCGGACGCCCAGCGGCAGAGTGCAGCGCGCCTCTGCACAGGTGGCCAACTTCCACCTGGCTGAGATCGCCAACAATGAGCTGCCGAAGGACTGGCCCAAGAGGAAGTTTCAGTCAGACCTTGTGCCTGACGATAAGAAGGCATGAAGAATGTTACTGATCACAAAAATTGGTTTTATGGAAACTCCTAAGGTTTAATTTTTTTTATTTTGTTGCCATTTCCAGCTGAAATACGCCCGACCAGGCCTGCCGGCGTTCAGCCAAGAGGTGCTGAGGAAGTGGAAGAATGAGGTGAAGCTGCAGAGGAAAGTTCACTGTCCTAACCAGGTAGGACACACTTTCATTTGACGTTTACTAGAATTGCATCTTAAACCTGAACAGTTAATCTGATTTAAAATGAAGTTGAGGATTTATTTGCAATCCATTTCGAGCTGCGTTTAGATACTGCCAGCCTTGACATGCCTTATAGCCTGAACCAGACAATATAAAGCGTTTACAGGGGCAAATAATAATTTTCTGAGTACACGCTGCATGTTTTGCAGACGTTGCACCTCGTATTAAAGTCATGGGCTCATTTCGCATGTGGTGTTTTTTAAAATTATTTCTGGGTTTTTATTAATTTAAACTCAAAGTTCCTCCATTCATAGAAATATCACTATCAAGTCATAGCAGACTTTTGGATTTACACTTCAAAAATGTTTTTTTTCGTACTTTACCGATACCAACTTTTAAAAAATCCATTGTTTCAGTATCAGTAACGTGTGTTGCACTATATTCTTCCCTCAGGGTTGTGACTGCACATACACCAGTGTGTCTGGGCTGAAAGCTCACCTGGGATTGTGCACAAAGGTAAATCATCTGTTCTGTGTCTAGAAAGATCATTTCCAGAAAATTCAGTTAAATCTTGGAATAAATTAAATATATCAAACCAGCACATTTTTCTCCATTCTCGGTTTTCTAAAAACATAAACTCTGAATTAAAAAGTAATAGGTGTAAGAGCAATTGTTCAGCAAATTTAATAACTTAAATGTTCTTACTTTAAGGTTTGTTTTGTCTTTTTCAGGGTGAATTTGAGGCTGGAAAATACAGATGTTTGATCTGCAACAAGGAGTTTAATTCTGAAAGTGGAGTGAAATATCACATAAACTCAGTCCACTCACAGGTAATAATCAATTACCAAGTTTCTTGCTTTGGATTTGCTTTTTTTGTCCCATTATGGTCACGCTTTATGCTGATGACGCCCTTGTATTAATTTATTCTATTGTTAATAGGCTCAGAAAGGTTCAGAAAATATTTTATTTCTGAATAAAACTTTACGGTCATGTACATATTTATATTTTTGAGAATTAAAATAATATTAAATCAAATTGGATTAAAAATTAAAAATACTTTATTGATTCCAAATGTACATTAAATGTTGTTGTAACTCATTAATTCAGAATTCTTCAACTTATTGTAGATAGTGATGGTGATGACAGTCGACAGTTGATGGTAATTGCTTCCATCCCTAAACATTTTTTAATGTCCTAACAGGACTGGTTTGTAACAAACAAAAAAGCCTCCAAGAAGTTTGAGAAGTTCCTCAAGAACCAACCAAAAGAGTCAGTCCATGCAAACAAGCAAACTTTTGACCAGTACCACTACCACCACCTGCACCAGCAGCAGCATCACCATTATCATCATCATCACCACCAGCAGCAGCCCCTGCAGCATCCACTGCAGCCTCTGCATCACCTGCAGCACCAAACCCAGTTCCTCCACCCGGAGCAGCAGAACCTCCACTCACAGGATGAGCCAGAGCTCCACTACACTTCCCTCGAACCTCCAGCCGGACCAGTGTGGCTGGACATGGACCGCAAGGAAGCCGTGCTGGGACCGGAACACATCGACATGCACATGGTGGACGCAATCAAATCAGAGGAGAACAGCGATGAGATAATGGAGGTCAAAGGGAGGATTAAGGGAGAAACCGGGATGGTGGACGGGAAACAGACGGACTGCTTCGGTTTCGGCAACAGTGAGGTGGAAGCCGGGCTTCATGGCACGCAGCGCCAGATCGTCCAGTGGAACCTGAAACGGCCTGACATCCTGGAGCCACATGCTGACGCTGCAAAATGATGGAGAAATGCCTGATAGGATCCTGCATCAGCTGCTAAAATAAATGATGCAACAGACGGCCTGTCCTACAAAAGATGAGACGACAACAGGAAGTGTACGACAAATAAAACTTTGAGCTGATGAAGGACGTACAGCATGAAGTTGTGGACTTAACACTAAATGTAGTCACATTTATCTGGGCGTTTTCACCAGTTTTTACTTCTTTCTAATTCTTTTAAAACCTTCCTGTCTTTGTTGTTAACCATTGATGGTAAAGTTAGGATGTCAGCATATTTTATTTGAGAACTGTTTGTTTTGTTCTCTCTGACAACACTTTGTGCCTCCTAAGTTTGATCTGTCTAACCTCATTTTGTTTCATTTACATCTGTGGCTTCATCAGATGAATGACAGAAGAAATATCAAACTAGCACCAACTCAGTAACTTCTAAAAATCAAATGCCTTTCTCTTATGTGTAAAATAGACTTTTCCAACTTTTTCATCCCCAACAAATGTGTTATACTTCTGTTTATGTGGATCTTAATAACAAAAAACACGTTAAGTTTTAGTCTTCAATATTTTCAGTGTCAAAAGCACAAAAATAAATATTATTGGTTTCCTCTACTCAAACTGACCCTAATATTAGATTAAGCCTACAGCTACATAAAGTCCACACACAGTAGAAAATCTGTTATTTTAAACACAAAAACGTTTAGACTGCATGAATACATTTTGTCAACTGATGAAGGGAAAAAATAATTTAAAATGTCCTGTTTGCAGATTTGTTATTGTCTCCTAATGTATTTCTGATATTGATAGATTAGATTAATGTCCATGTTCTCTGCGATTTACCTCCACTGTTGTTTGACACGTTTATTTCAGTTATTTCTGGCTCTAATGTTTAACAGATTTTTTTTTTTTAGCTGATGAAATGTTAATGTATTTTCTTCTTGTTTTCTGCCTTTTGCACATTTCTTTTCAAACCAAACTAAAGAATCAAGTCTTGAATGAATTTGTTTGAAGAGTTTCCCACTGAGCATTTTAAATGTGGGAGGTGTTGCTTGTTTCAAAAAGACAAACCTATCATTTTGACTTACATATAACACATTCTCTGCCAAAAGTTAACTTTCATTTTCAGTGACTTTCTGAATTTTCATTTCACAGATTGAATTTCTAATCTTGAAAACTCACATTTTGAAAGACGTGGACCAGGGCCGACTCTAGGATCTGAGCTGTAGGGGTGCTTCGCCCCCCGCAGGGCTAACACCCATGAGAAGATATAAAATGTTGGTGCATTTTCTAAATCTAGCTGCTTATTTCCATACATTCACAAACAAAATTAAGAGACATGTCAGTAATTAATGGAATAAAAGAACAATGTTCATTTTATTCAAACATATACTTATAAAGAGCAAAATCAGAGAAACTTAATTTTTTCCAGCGGTGTATATACTCGGTTTGAAACAATCTCAAGACTATATCATGCCTGCCAACATCTGCTAACATTAATGAGACCCATGCAGATGTGGAGTGACACAGTCCTAGTGGGGTCTGCTCCCCTGGAAATTAAAATAAAAATTTATTCAAAACTAAGCATTTCCAGTCATTTGAAGAACATTTTTCTACAACCAGTTTATTATGAATGTAGAAGTTCAGGTAAATGACTCATGAAAACTAGTCATTAAGCTGAACTTTATTTGAAAATCATACTTAGAAATTGCATTACTCTTATTTGTATCTGAATTTTATGTGGCTGTCAGCCTTTTTCTTTAAATAAGAATGTTTGTCCATCTATGGAAAAGTGAACATTGTGAGTCAGGGTTTTACTATCATCCTTCAGAACCAAATACCTTTCTATTCACAGAAACAGCCTAACATTATTTAGTTTCACCTTATTTAAGTGACTCCAGAGAGGTTTGAGTAATTAATTACAAAATAGTCACTAATCAAACTTTTAAAAGAGCAATAAGAACCAGAACCCATTATTTATCTTTTTTTTTTTTTTTTTTTTTTTTTTTTTTGCATATATACAGTTTTGTACTGAACAGCAAAATAATCTTCAAATAAATAAATCCAATACTGCACACGATTTCCATTCATGAATATAAAAATAATTTTAAATTAAGTACTGCATTGCTACTTATAATTGCAATAAAATGTATTGCCACTTTAAATTGCAGTGCAACACTAAGTTTATTGTTAAACCTAGTGTTGATGTGCGTATTATAGCGTGTCTATCGCACATTAATGGGACGACTGTATTTTACAGGATGAGTGGAAATCCTATTCAGGGGTGCTGAGATTACTCAAGTAACAGTAAAATAGCATTTGGTCAAAAGTCTACTAATTACTGAATAACTGATCAGATGAGCACCCTTCAAATAAAAAAAAAATATTCTAAAAAAGTACACAAATGAGGGTTTTATTTACCAGGTGTGCCGCTGAACATGTCTGTCTGCTACAAATGATCCGTTGACAACGAGCCTGTAAATAAAAGAAAAGACAGTATTGGCCTCTGGTGTTACAGTGAAACCAGTTGAACAGTTCAACAAGCTGGAATCGCCTCTGACTTTACTTGAGTACAACTTTTGAGCACCAGTCATGTGGAAACGAATCTCTTGAAATTCCACTTTGTCTTGACAGGGGGCGGTGTAGACCTTCATGCCTCTACAGTAACATGGCGGTCTGATGTAATGATATTGTAGGTTTGAATTATCGGATGCAGCGGGACCGGCACTGGAGGTATTTGCAGTTTTTTCTTTTTGACCAAATACCAGATAGTGTATCTTTTACGACTGTTTTCGCTCTGCGTAGTCCATCATCATCCAGCTGTTTGTTCCCGAGAGCTGCGCTCGGGATTCGATCCCGTGCTGTTGGTGTCCGGTATCACGAGTTTGGTACCAGGGATTCCAGGCTTTGCCACCGGGGTGGGAGTCCAAGACCCTTTCACGATTAGGTTTTAATGGTAGCAGTCAGTGATGCTCACTGGTGATCCACATTTTTGTATTATTGAGATGAAAGTAGCACGACACGCTACTACTATATTAGCCCATTAGCTTAGCCGTGTGTGTTAGCCAAAATGCGAGGCTCAAGGGTGCTGACTTGCTTGGAAAACAACCGACTTTTATAACTGAAATAACTTTGTTTTATTTGTCTTGCGAATGAAAAATGTACCGAAACAATGGGAAACGTGACATAAGGCAGCGTGATGATTTTTATTTGTTAATTTCTTGTATGAACTCTGCTATTACTCCGTAAATGTAAAATATAATTTTTTTTCAATGGAGTCTGGTGACCGCGGTAAAGCTAGCCTATCTGCTTCAAACGTATTAGTACCACATTTACGTGCTGCTCTCACAATAAAAGCTCACATCCGGTTCATGTTTGATCTACTGCAAGTAGATTTCCAGCGGCTTCAAGCTTAGACTTTGTATTTATACAAAATGAAATAATGTATCGGAAATAATTGGGGACATTAAGCAATGCTGAAAAACTCTCTGTTTCCCGCTGGAAATCTACTTGCAGTAGATCAAACATGAACCGGATGTGAGCTTTTACTCTGAAAGGAGGTTGTAAATTAGGTTGCCGTAACGTCTAGTGCCGTGGCGCACGCGGAAATCGAGTGCGGGCTTTGCTGTCATTTTCGAAGAGACGGCTGGCTTTACCGTGGTGTCTGGTGTAAACAGTGACAGTATATCTCCATAACGCCAGAGTTAGCATCTGGTTCCTATCTTTAGTTAATGTCTATTTTATTGCTCATCTCTGTCTGTACTGCATTTGATTAACTCTAAATTAGAATCTGAAATTGATCAACTATTATTAGTTTTTTATATTTTTATACAGAGCTATTAAACCACAAACTAGTCCTTTACTTTTGCTGAATCGATGCAATTTTGATTGAATATCTGGATTATATGTGCAGTGAATTGCTTTCTGTTTAAACTCATTGTAATAATTTCCAATTGTTCTGTAAGTTCCTTCAAAACAAACTTAAAAAAAATGATGCAATATGACTGAATTGTCATGCTCTCATCCAGTGTACAGTTAATCAAGTAGAACAATGTCCCAAAGATGACGAAGCATATCGCAGGACAACCCTCACATAAATAACACGGAGATAATGGATCCCGTTCACTCTGGACAAGGTTTGTAGAAGCACACCTCATATGTTTTAGACACATAATGCCAGGGGTCCCCACAGTGGGTCCTCGAGGGCCGGCATCCTGCATGCATGATTGTTTTTGTTATTTTTTGGAAAAATTGTTTTACAATCACTGTAAAATAATTCAACTTCTCCTTGCAGGACTGAATTCGCCATCACAACAGGATATTTATTTGTCGTCCAGTTCAAGAGGACGGCAACGAAAGAGAAATTCTAAATATGTTGATTTTGAAACCGATGACACAGATATTGGTAAAAGCGTCAAACAGAAATCCCCTCAAAAGTCAGTGGGGAAAAGAGCAACCTGTCGAAAGACTCCCACAAAACAGAGAAAAACTAAAACACCTGAACAACAAACCACAAATGGAGAAAAAGAATCACCACAAACAATCGCTGCAGACTGTGTTGATACAGTAATAACTCCTAGAAAACCGAAAAGAGCCAAGAAAGCACAGCCTGTAGAATCTGCCTCTGCTGCTGGGGACCTGCCGACTGGAAAAACGGGAGGCAGTGTTGTAGAAAACTCTGTCCAGCAGGAAAATGGGTCACTGAAGCCGAAAAGAAAGTATGTCAGAAAGAAGCCTGTAGAGGAAGTTAGATCCCCACCGAATGAAGAGGAACCAGGTCCTGAACCTGATGAGGAGGTCCAGTCAGGGGGCCGTCGCCGCAGAAGAGCTGCTAAAGCGTAGGTCACATGATGCCACGACGGTAGACACAGTTTTGAAAAGTTTTCAGAAATCTAGACTAGTAAAGAGAATAAGTAAAACATGGAATGTTGCTCTGTTACTTTAGTTCTGATTGTTCCTTTTGTGGACTTTTATTTATAATTATTTTGGGTTGAGACAAACTAATGAAACTAAATGAAACAGTTGCTCCTAGTTTTGGATCCTGGAAGAATTTTCACTGTTACTTTTTTATTAACGGACATTCACGTTGTATAATTTATGAGAATTCAGGAAATGTCATGCAAAGTCTGCAAGGAACCACATCATCTTTTAGCCATGTGGATTCTCAACGCGCAAATATAAAGTTCTATATTTTTCCAGTGGCTCTACAGTGTTTAATACTCAACCAAAAATCTTGCAGGGCTCTGAAGTACCTCCAGCTTTTAGCCAAAGAGGTTTTCTCTCACTCCAGAGACGAACTCGGCTCCAAGTTGCACGAAGACGAAGAATCCGAACAGAAACCTTCCAAACAGACAAGAGGTACAGTGGATTTGTAATCAGTGTTGATGAAAAAAGGGTAAAAGAAACTTAAAAAATGTGAATTAATGTGTGCATATAGAGAAAGTTTGGTTCACAAAAAAGCATAAACGTGGAGAAAAAATGGCGACTTTGTGTGATGCTACATTGTGTCATTTTATGTTTGCGCTCAAGGTCGAAAGAGAAAACTTGATGACGTTGAGAAAGACTTTGTGCCAAATATGGAAGATGAAGACGAGGAAGAGGAATATCAAGAAGGATCAGATGCTGAATCGGATTTTGAGGAACAAGAGAAATTTCATCCAATTTTTCACCAAGTAAGATGATGTCTAATATTTACTTTCAGTAAATTCACTGAGTTTGACATTGTAATTTTAATCGTTTAGACTACTGACTTATTAGTTAATGTTTACATTAATTTAACATTGAAATAAAATCAGAGATTGATAGTTTGTCTAAATATTGTTTACTACTAATTTTACTTCATGGAAAAAGATGTAATAACATTTTTGTTTCTTAATAAATCTAAATTGAATTATCAATAAAATAGTCTCTCTTGGTGAATTATGTGAAAAACTCATTTTAATTGTTTCTGTGCCCAGCAGAGGAGCCCGAATGGAAAACCTCACAACGGAATTGATTCCAGTATCATAAGAACAATTCTGGATTCTGCTGAGATGACAAAAAAATTGTAAGATCTTCTCACCATGTTTCAGACTTAAATTGGTTTTACTTCAATCACAAAATGAATAGAAAAAAATTCTACTGCAGCTAGAAATAACATTTGTTTTTGTATATTTAGTGAACGTGTTATTTTGGACCATGTGTCTGTGTTTTCAGCCGGGAAGAGAACTACAGCAGCTGGGTGTTTCCAGAATGGGTTCCTTCCGCCAACAACTGGGAGCCTGTGCCAGAAAAGTAGATTATTTTCATTTGCTTGTTTTTTTAGCTGAATTATTTACTTGCAATAATAAAATACTAGTGGTGGAACTTGATTAAAAGTGTTAATCGAGTTAATTGCAGGGCAAATAATTAATTTCTCAAATAGACACAAAATTTACAGATTGTTTAATCAACCAACAGATTTGCAGATTATTCTGGACTGCAGTATTTTTTTATAATTATGCAGCTTATGCTGAAATGTTGCCCATACTGTACAGTATTTTTATTTATTTTATTTACTGTTATTGCATGTCACTCTGCCACAGCTGCACAGAAATTTCCACATTGTTGGACGATAAAGGAAATTTTTAGTCTATTCTATTTTTCAAATGAAGCATAATTAATTTATTATTTACTTATTTTGAAAAGGAGCAGCAAAAGCAAAGGATGGGGATTAGCAGAGCTTGTCAACAGCTGATAATGTGATCCAGACCATGTTAATGTGGAAATTGTCTCTTCTGCCTGGATATTAAACTGTTTGCATGTCATACATGTGTCATACAGCATTAGCCTTCAGTCAATCTAATTAATTGATTTTTCAGTGAATTAGAAAAATACCTTCCTGAAGAACTGGAGTCGGCTGCCTTCAAAGTGTCCAGAGACAATCTGACCCAGGAAGAGGCGCCTCTGCTAAGACTCAGCAGGTGACACTGATGAGCCTTTCCGTTTGTTTAGATGAAAGGTTGAGTGAATGTTGAGTTGAGCTAACTTGTTGCTGAACCTGTCAGGTTTGAGGCGATGGCAGCTCACCCGGGCCGCTGGGACATGTTTCTGTTTGCTGGTGGACCCGTCTGGGCCCTGGAGTGGTGTCCCACCCCGGACGGCGCTCCGGCCTCGCAGTACATTGCTCTGGCTTGCCATCGAGGGATGGACGACCTGCACTATGTGAACCAGACCTACTCGGAACCTGGTCTGGTCCAGCTGTGGGACTGTGGCAAACTAGAGTACAACAAGAGGTAGATATAAAATATATACATCCAGACTGAACTCAAATCAATTTCCTTTCTCAGTCTTACGGTTCATTAAAAGTCCTCTGTAAATGTAGACTGATTGATTGCTCTTTGTGTAAATCCTGTGCAGACCAGACTCTCAGCCCTCCCTGGTCTACGGTTTGGCTCAGGACAAAGGCTTCATCTGGCAGTTAAAGTGGTGTCCAGCAGGAGGCTGGGAGCTTCCTGACTCTGTCAGAAAGGTAAAAATAATTAACATTTTGTGTTTTTCAGCCGGAAGCTACGTAGTTTATTTCAAAATGTATTGTTTTGTCTATATGCGTAGCATCAAAATAGATTCATTTTACCAAAAGTTAATGTACAGAAAATGTACATTATTTAATTACCAACTGGTATTATATTTAATAACAGAGAAACATTTTAAAGCACAGATAAAACAATATTATAACAATAACACCTAACAATATAAATACTTGGTTTCATACTAGAGTTAGTAATGTGTTTGACCTAAAACAAGGTATATTCTGCCATGTTCCATATTGTTTTTTTGTTGATCTATATTTTAATAATTGTTTTAGTGGTGTAATGAGGTGATGTATGGGATCAGTGCAAAAATAGCATTGCTGCAGCTAAATGTGGATCCCAAATAAAGAAAACTGAACTCAGCTTGTATGTGCTACTTAAAAACATGAAATCTGGTCTTTCACTTTGCCTTCAGGCTCCTTTCTTGCCCAGACTGGGCCTGCTGGCTGTCGCCACGTCCAGCAGCGTGGTCACCATCTACAGCCTGCCTCATCCCGACGCTCTGCTCTCAAACACAAAACTCACACACTCTGGTAAGACGACATCTTGTCTCGGACCTGCTCAGTTCAGATGTTCTTTGCGATGTAAAGGTGACGTGTTGGAGCTCTGCTGGGGTTGCTAGGTGTCGGGCTGGGTTTCTCTGCCTGCTGATTGGAGACGGTAAATTTGGAAACGGCTTATTTTACAGACACCAAAAAACATTGACTTATTGTTTAAGAAAAAAAACAGTTGGGTGGTTTTGTTAAACACTTGGACTGTTTGTAGAGTCAATAAAAACCCAAATGGAAGCACAAAAACATGTGAAATGTAAATTCTCCATAACAGATCCCCTTTATAAAGAATTTTGTCAGTGTTTGGAGAGATTCAAGTTTTTGCCTTCAGTTTTCTTTCAAAGAACATCTAAATAGAGGTAGCTTTTTGTGGTGGGAGGAAGCTGGAATCGAACCCACAGCCTTCAGATTGTCAAACCACAACTCTTCCCATTAACCTGCAGGAAGGAAAACTTCGGTTGTCAACGACGTTTTCTTGCTTATGATGGTTCCTAATTTTGTGAAACCGTTCAGAAGTCGTTTGCTCGCTTACAGTGAAATGGAAAATGTTGAATATTTGTTATATTTTAATTTATGTATGATGAAACAGAAAACCAAATATGTTGTGATCAACTCTGCAAGGGTTGTGATTCTTTCTTTGAAATACACAGTCATTTGCAGAATCATTTCAAAGTCATAATAAATTGATGCAGAAGTTTTTGAAAGATGAAGAATTTCCTTATTAACATCACAAGATACTAAACATTTCTAATTTTAACAGTGTAAGAATGAGTTTTCTCATATTATTTGAACTTTATTTTGGCAGTATGACTTTATTTAAATTTTTTTTCTTTAATCAGATAATATAACTTTATTCTCATATTGCATTTTCTTTAAGCAGGTTAAAAAAATGAAGTATTTGTTATGTCCAGCAGAGGGCGCTGTTGGTTTACTGCAGCCTTAAATTTCTCTGACATCACTTTAAGTGTTGCAGGACTGCAGAGTAAAACTGATGGATAAATCGCTCTAGGTCTGCAAAAAATGTCCCAGGAAGCAGAAGATTTAGACTCAACATGAACCAGAACTTGATTTTGATGTGAGCTTTTCTCAGAAAACGGTTGCTTTACTTGGCTAATGTTTAATTAGAAGAAATCTGAGAGTCATTCAGTGCAGATTTGTTTCTGCTTGTTGTCTCAAACCTTATTCATGGTCTGCTGGAACATCAAAAAATTTGTACCATTTTCCAAAAACCCAAACTTATCATGAAAATGAGCAGTTTTCCTTCAGGAAATCATAAACATCAGCATAATTATGAGAAATTATCCAACATTTTTGTTGATGAAGTAATTGATGAATAGCTTGAATATGTAAGAAGCTGATGTCAAGAGGCTTTCACAGGCAACTACATGAACTCAATAATTATTTAATCAATCAAACGGCTGGATTATCAATCATGTCAGACATGGAGCTCATTAACTGGAGCAAATCTTAGTTAAAATGACAAAGCTCTCTGGGATACTCTGTTTTTCTCTGTCATGCAGCTTTAACAGTGACAGTAGTTTTAAAAAATCTTGTAAAAGAAAAAAAAAACGATTCCATGCTGAGATTATCGATGATGGAGCCTGTAGTCCAGTCCTATCTGCTGCCTCCGGGGCTCTGCTGCTAGAACGCTGTGTGAATGAGATTAATGGCCGCTTTATCTGCAGCATCCATCATATGCAGAATGGCGCTTGTGTCTGCGTGAGTTAGTGTTTTTTATTCCTGTCAGGGGTCTGCCCCGCCACTAATCTGATTAAACACAACACCAGTCTGGAGTCATCACATTTCAGGACAAGAAAGACTTGAGAATAAATGGTTTTACACAGACAATGTATTAAATTCATGTTTTACTGCAGATTAAAGAATAAAGTTTGACTACGGTTATTCAGTTGGGAAATCCCACATGAAGACACAACCGTTTATAACTAAAACATTGACATAGTTAGAGTATTGTTAGCCTTGTTGTTAAGCTTTAAAGCTGCGGTATGTAACTTTTATTAAAAATATATATTTTTATACATTTGTTGAAACTGGTACTGTGTCATGACTGTTCAGCATGAGACAGGTAATCTGTGAAAAATCAAGCTCCTCTGCATTCTCCCAGTGCTCTAGAAACAACCAATCAGAAGCAGGAGGCGGGTCTTAGCGCTGTCAATCACCTCTCCGTGTGACGTTCTTTGGTAAGCTGTCATGAATGCTCAGGCTAGTTAGCATGGCCACCGATGACGGCAGTTTTCCTGTAACATTAAATTCTTTCTCTGTCATTACCACATTTAGCAACGAGTACATGAGCTTGATTGACAACGGGGGTGATATATTGATACAGCTTGAGCAGATTTACATCATAAGTTTCAATAAAATTTGAAGTTTGTAATTGTCACTTTATACACCATCACTCACCTACCTTTCTTGAAGAATTTGTTCTCATGTCTTTCCTATTTTGAAGAGAAATTAAGAGAAATTGTCTTATTCATTTCCCCAAGAAAATTGAAACATATTGCTTAGTAAGTCAAGTTTATTTGTGTATCAGTAAATAAATGTACTCAAATTACAGTTTTGAATTTACTAAATTATTAATTGTGTAATTTTGCTGCTTCAATAAAAGCTGAATTTTTAAGTTTTTTGACCTATTTTTGCAGGATTGATAAACAAAAAACGCAGTTTTTTTTCTATATTAGCTGATAATTATAATAATGATGCAAAACAAGATGAGTTATAAATTTGAAACTGTATTTGTTTCATATGTTTTTGTTCTTAAAGGCAAATCAATTAACTGCTTGGTATCAGGTTGGACTCTATTACACATGACTCGGTTTTACAACTAAAGGAAATATACGCAAGTCTGAATTTGGACATAAAAAGCTCTATAAAACCTGACATTTCATTTTTTTACCCTCTCCACTGCTTTGTAGCCCCTGGTTTCCATTTTATTTTCTTGTCACGGATCATTGGGTTCGGTTTCCGCTGGTTATAGTTATTGGATAAAACAGTTTCCAGGTGCTCACATTATAAAATAGCAGGTAATAGCATGAGGCAGACTCATGTTTCCTAGTATGTGATTTGTATGTTTTAGTTTTGAGATCCAGATGAAACTAAAACATTGTGTTTTTATCTCACTGTCTGACTTGAGATCCAACCAAACGTTTGCCTTTCTTGATGAGTTTGGATTAATTAATTGATTTTTCCTATGAGCCAGAATAATAAAAAAGAGAAATCCTAGGTAGCCAAATAACATTTTCATCATGAATTCAACTTGCACCAAATATTAGAAGATATAACAATGAGCAGTTTGAATCAAATATTTAGTTATAAATTAACAGTTTTCTGAAAAACTTGAATTGTTGATAGATTTCTAACTTCATAAACAAATCTGTGACCTAATAAAATGGTTTCTATTTTAAATCATGTAGTTTGATATTTAGTGGCTGCATGGTGGCACAGTTGGTAGGTCTTGGGTTCAAATCCCCAATGTTTTTGCATGGTGTTTGCTTGTTCTCCCTATGCATGTGTGGATTCTCTCAGGGTACTCCAGCTTCACATTTTGCATGTTTTTCTTCTTTCACTTGGTTCTTGGCTGATTTTAACAACAAAAATGACGCTTTTAAAATATCAAAAATCATACAGTTAATGTTTTTGTTGTCTTGAAAACATGTCATTTCAAAAACCTCTCTATTGTAAGACACAGTCCATGACCGTTACCTAGCAACCATAGCAAAACCCCGCCCACCACCTAGCAACCCAAGCTGAGCTCCAGCATGTTTGGTCAGCTGGTTTTACCACTATATTTGTTGTATAATGGCTGCTGGAAAAGACAAGTGTTTAGTTGCTTACTTACCATCCACAAGCCACTTGCCGCATTATTATTGGCTGTCCAGGAGGCTCCACTTCTGCTGTTCAAAGATGTCTGGTTGTAATATAGAGTTTGGGGGTGTGGCCAGCAGCAGCTCATTTGGATTTAAAACGATAAAAAGACCATAAAACAAATCAAATCAGGCTGAATAGACTAAAATCTATCTCTGAATGCTTTTGTGCAAAAAAAAAAAAAAAATGTAATGAACATGTTTTGTATCGTCCATAAATCCACCCTAACCTGTTTAACGAAGCATAGGAGGTCACCTTCGCGTAATTGCAGTGAAACATCCAACGTTTGTATGCAGAAAGCTATCTCACATGGATCTGGTTGGACACCATTTCTGTGGGGAAATTGACCCAAACGGGTTTAAACAGAACCTCTGCACTTCTGGTTGCGACAGATAATTGTAAATGGCTTTTGTCGATCCAGTCGCCACAATGACTGAGAGGATGAGGCCGTTAAAAACTGCAGGACTGGAGCGGCTCGGTGACGATGAGCAGTGAGAATGCGAGGTGTTGTTGGGACCTCGTATAATTTATGGCGCTTTTCTCCATCAGACAAGGATCTATAATTAAAATGACAAAAAAGATGCATCGGCGAGCGGGTTATTAGTGTTGGGAGCTATGAATTTCAGCTCATATAGCTGACTCGTCTTGTATCGCTGTGCTGTCATTCATCGAGGACGTACTTTGGGCCGAGGGGCGACTCAAACTGCTGCGCTTTGCACCGGCTTTTTATTCTCTGCTGAAAGAAATTGTTCTTTCAGTTCTGGGTCAGAATTTTCAGTGTCTGAATATTTTTAGATCAGGGTTTGGAGTTTCTCTCCTTCTGGATTTTTAAATAGATTTAATACAAATATATTTATATAAATAATGATTATTTTGGGTTTCAGGTCTAGTCTTGAGATTTGTGAAGTAGTAGTTTGTGTTTTAGTCAGGTTGTGGTGAGGTGATGGATAGTTTGGGTGAATTAACCGGACACTATTGATCTGAACCGTTACGGATCCAAACCGGAGGAGGAGGGAAAACTAATGATCTAGAACAGCCTGATACCTTTTTTCTCCAACCATTAAACACAGAAATGATCACTTAGAAAACAACTGCTGTATCAGAGCCATGAAATCCACAGACATGCAGTTTTTATCTTCACTTTAACCTTCAGTATTTTAATACATCTTGAAGACTTTTTGTTTTCATCCATGACATCTCATATTTTCTCACAATGTAAATTTGCATCTTAAAGGTGTAAAATCATTTCAAAATGGAAATATGTGACTAAATTTGTTGATGCTTCACAGAAAGAAACAATGAAAAACCACCAATTTACAAGGTAAGGCCCTGTTTATACGTCTGTCATTTAAAACACTGGAGGAAAATACAAAGTCTTGAAACTGGTTTGTTTTGTGTGCATTGCATTGTTTTCTTCTCATTTTCTGCAGGTGCGAGGTGTGATAACGCTAAAACTGGGCTGCATCAAATCTCTTCGAGAAGGAAAGAGCGGACAGGTTCTGTCTATGGATTGGCTTCCTCAAAAACCGCACAACATAATGGCTGTTGGATTTTACGATGGTACGAATCGATTCTGGAAGAACAAATAAATGATCTCTCTCTGTTGCTGATGCATTTCTTCTTTGCCGTAATTTTCATCTTTTGCATTCTTCTGTTTCTTTAATCATTTTCTCTCCTTCCAGGTGTTGTTGGACTCTGGGATCTTTGTACAAAATCTTCCCTGTTGCGGGTCAGAGAGTCAGACCGATCTTTGACTCTGCTGCCCTATCGATCGATACTCGCTCACGACAACGCCGTCAGAGCTCTGGTCTTCTGTCCTGCATCCAGGTGAGCTCTGCTCCCACTGACTGTTGGAGGTTTTCTAGTTTTTAGTGTGATTCAATGTTTGTGAAGCAGAAAAAGTTCAAACTGTCTTTTGATTTCCTTTCTTTCAGGGGAGAAAGAACTTCTTTTCTTTTGTTAAAAATGTAAATGCTATCACATTCTGATACAGTTGACTCCCATTAATAGCGAGAGTTAGCAAGAACTAGCGCCTGCAAATGACTGAAATCAGCAACGTGTTACCTGAGTAATAATAACTGTTTTTGTTGGAAATACAGCAGCTATAGGCGATGATATAAACAAACAGATCTGTGGATATAATTCAATATTTCACCTCATTAAGCTGGGATGCTATTTCCCATGAAATTCAATCAAATCACTCAACCGCTTTATTTACAGTGGAAAGGAATAAATATTCTCTTTATGTGTTAGATATTTTACCTGCTGTCTTATGTTACAACAAAAATGTGGCTTTACTGAGATTGCAACAAGAATTGAAGTAATATTTTTACTGTCTTCCGTCTCTTTATTTCATTACAACATGACTAAGATCAACAGATCTTCAGGTTAAACACATTAATCTGCAGTCGCTGCATTGGAGCAGCTCGCTTCATCACTCAGTGAAATTAGGATGTTGGTTAAAATTTCTGTAACTGCTCAGTGAGTTCAGGTTTTAAAGTGTATTTGTTTGTAACAATGCAAAAATATCAAGAATATTTTAAATTTTAATAATTTTATTACTGATATTTTTGTCTAGACTCTTAAGTGTTCATTCTTTTTGCTTCATTTTTGTCCTTACTTGTTCTCCTGCATCCATGTTTTGCTCACTATTGATGATATTTCATATCATTTAGTATTATATTACGTTCTGTATATTCAGTAATCCTAAAGGAAATCACATTGAGACTTCTGCACCAACGAATCTAACTTTGTATTCATGTTGCATTACTGCAGCTAGTTTGGAAATGTCTGAATAATTAATGGTGCCATTAACAGAACAGCAGCACCATTTATCTGTGGACAAATCTACAACCAATTAGTTTTGTCTTTTTTAAAAAATCCTAATTTTGTGTTTTTGCACTTCAGCTGCTTGTTTTATGTTTAAAAACTGGATATTAGTTGGATTAAAATGAATAGAAAATGTAAAATTGCAAAGACTGAAGAATATGAAGCTTTGTTATTCTGAGTCAAACTTTGCTTTTCTCTGCTCAGATTCAAAAACCAGTTTTTCTCCTCAGATATGAAGTGAACAGATTTTCTTTGCACTCTTTGCATTAAAACATATTGATTTCTGTGTCACCCAATGTTTACGGCAGACACTGCTTGCAGAGTTGATCAATGAGAAGAAAAACGATGAATTCCACAGGAAACTTCACAGTATAAATCAAATTTTCAGACTTTTTTGTTGTTTGCGTTTCACCCAGTGAAAATGCATGGATTCTTCCAAATGAATCATTAATTTCCCAAACTGTTGACAGATACTTGTTGACATCGGCGGGTGAGGACCGCTGCTTGAAGACCTGGGACCTGAGGAGGCTCAGTAACATGGTCAAGGTCCAAAAACGCCACCTGACCACTGAGCTCCTCTGGCCGCTGGACTCACCCGGGGTTCTGGTTGCCCAGGAATCTGCCTTCGTACCGTAAGAAAGATCCTGTTGTCATGATTTATTATTGATTTATACACGATGCCAAAATAGTTCATTTATTATTATTATAAACTTGTGCATGTGTCTTTTTAACATGATTTCTGTTCCATAAATAGATGATAAAAGATTTAAAACTAAAGTTAAACAAAAATTCAAAAAGCTTTAACTCAAAAATTCAGATCTTTTCAACGTGAGTCACTAAATCTACTTTTGATGAATGTTTTGATGGATCCATAGTGCAGGTATATTCATCTGTTTATAAAAACATACTTTCTTCAGGTAAATAACTACAAAGTAAATTTACTTTTTTTGTTTTCAAGCTATCTCTGGAAATGCAAAATTAACAAACAACAGATTATTTACTCTGGACAAACAATATGGGATTATTAGGCTCTTTTCAAATATAAGAGTTCAGAATTTTTATTGTTTCATCTTACCAGATGAAAAAGTAAAATAAATGTCAAAAAAGGGAAGAATTTGGCATTATCTCCAGACATTATCTTATTAATCCTTCCATATACATATCAGAGAATCACCAGAAACTCTGACATGTATATTAAATAAACAGGTTAAAAAGGATGAAGAAATCTCTGATTTTAAGTCTAGAAAATTAAATACACATTTAGGAACGCCGTGTTGATTTAACATGAAATGTGAACCTTTAGATGAAAAATCTGCAGTTTACTGAAAAGCGTAAAAAGAGAGAAAATATTTTATCCTCCAGAATTTAGATGGAAACAAAAACTATTTATTAATTACACGTCTTAATAAATATAGCGCTAAATTTATAGCTTAAAAAAATGTATGTTTTCACAATTTTTTGAAATATTGGCGGCTAAATGTTGCTCTTGTTCTGAACTTGCATACATCAGAATGAGCTTTTATCAAAATGTCCTGGTCGGTTTTGCTTTTTAGGAGAAGTTCAGCTGGAGTTCATTACGTTGATCACTACCTGCGCTCCTACTTTGCGATTCCTCGGAGTACGTCTGTCTGGGTGAGTGAAGCCTTCCTCCAAAGAGGATTGTGTCAAATACTTATCCATCCATTTTGCATGTATTCTTTTCTGAGTAAAATCTGTCTGGACCCATGAAACATACTGGGCATGTGGAAAAAAATAACTTTACAAGCTTTTCTAACAGGTTGAGTTAGAAATTGGAGCTCCTTCATTTTCCCAGTTTTCTCTGCATTGGACTTTATTTCTTCACACTTTGGATCAAATTAAAGAAGCTGAACTTTATTCCAGATCAAATGCTGTTCTGGCTGGATGAAGCTAGCGCCTTAGCATCTAACATATGTCATCTACCCAGAATGCTTTGCATAGTAAAGAGCCTCGTGGCATTCGTTTGACACTTTTTTATTTATTTTACGAAAACTAAGCATATCTGTCGGTTCAGAACTGTTCACTTTCATTTTATTTCTTCCATTTGAAAACTGATCTTCATGGCTTTGGCTTGATCTGTTTATGTCGCCGCAGTCCTTGTCTTATTCTGATTGGCTGCACACCGTGATGTCAGCAGATACGCTCGGCGATGTGATTCTCGCCATCTTACCGCTGCCCAACTGCTCTGTCAAGAAAACATCCATGAGACGTTTTGTAAGTTCCAGAAAAAGCCCATTTTTTCAGTTTCAAAGGTGTAGAAAGTCTGTTTTAATCATTATTTTTCCTCAGCCTGCCTACGTCACATCTTTGGAGCCTTACGAAGCAGAAGGAGGACAAAATAAGGGTGAGGAAGAGGAAAGACAAGAAGCAGAAGAGAGAGAAAAACCAATAAACGATGAAGACGAGGGAGGAAGAGTTGGAGGAGATTCAAGTCTTCGCCTGCAGTTTCAGACGTACAAACAGGCTGTTAAGAAATACTACCTGCACTTTAGAGACTTAGATATGGTAGGTTTGTGGTCTTTTTATCACAATAGTAATGTTTATTGATTAAAAATAAAGTGAGTAAAAGTCATTTGAATCAGATTTGAAAGCATTTTATAAAGTGATATTTTTATTTTCTCAAATCTACAACTATAGAAGATTTCAGTAAAATGTTTTCTTGCATCCAGTTTTTAGGTTTAACTGCAATTAGTCATATGTGTCCAGTGTCTTTATATTCAATATTTGGGCAATTAAGAAAAGCTTTGTGCAAAGATTTGCATATTAATCTATGGTTGAAGATTACAATAAAGAGTGGACATGTTCCTATAAACTCGAGCTAATATTCGTCCTTTTGACTTCCAGCGATGCCTTACAGGACTCAATAAGCACGTTTTGTGGAAACGCATGCAGAGCACAGAACTAACAGCAGTTATGAACCTGGATGACATGCCGCTGGCTGCTCTCTACAAGGTGCGTTTACAGCACTTTATCTGTTTCTTCACACTCATTCTGCAGCACAAAACAGGGAGGAAAAAACAGGGTAAATGAACAAATAAGGGCCACAATGAGAGAGAGAGAAATCAAAGGTGGGATCTGCCTCCTTCTCTGATGGGCGGCTATAAAGTCAGGCCAAATGTAATGATGTGGAAAATGAGAAAAATGTCACTTCCAGCAGCAGGAGGAAGGAGGGGGAGATGGAGAGCGGCCATTTGAGGATATGATGTGTTTAATTTTAAGAGGCAGAGTCCAGGGAGCGACTTCGCCCTTCGGGGTGAAGAGATCCACGGACATTTTACGGGTCAAAAAATCCCTCGCAGTTTTTCTCTAGTTTGTTCTCTTTTATCATCTGAAGGGAATAAATGGTTAAGAATGAATCAGCAGTGAAGAAAGAAAGAAAGCAAAAGTTAAAACCACTGGGAGGATTTCTAGGAAGATTAAGGGAGGTGTTTTATTCACTTCCTTAGAGCGATGGCTGAGTCAGAATCATAAATAAGAACGTTTTCTACTTAAAGAAGCTCAGATAATCAGAGATTCACTATAAATAAGATTAAAGTTTAGCCTGAAAACAGATTGAAGATTTAACTCACTCTGAGACATCAGCATTTTTTTTAAAGTGCTTACAGAGCAGACAAATAATGACAAAACTTAAATAATTAAACAGGGAAGCATGGATGGAAGGAAATAATAGATAAATTGTTGCATTACTGAGGAAAGAACTAAAAAAAAAAGCAATGAGCAGAAAGGAAAATAATTAGGAATGGAAGAAAATAATTAGATGAATTAAAAAAGTAGATAAATTATACATACCAAAAGTAGGTTAGCAAAATTCAAAAGGAAAAAATAAATAATTATTTAAGTTATGGAGAAAAATGGTAAGGAATAAAGGAAATAAACATAATATGCTAGAAAGTAAATAATAATTTGCCAGTGAAATTAGAAGTTTTTCATCGATATTGAAGAATTATCAACTTAAATCAAGCTGCTAATTCTAGTTGAAAAGTTACATGCAAATAAATTTTCTCTTATTTCAGCTGAGCTAAAATATTTGCTCTAGAAACTAAAATACTTGGTTAGGATTTTGTATTTATGCAGTGTACATAAGAACTTGTGTAGGTAAGCAAATAAGAGGTAAAAAAAACAAAAGTAAAATATAAGTAGATTAGGAAATAATATTATAATGTATTGGAGGTAGATGTCTGCAAAATAAATCAAAGATGTCAAAAACATGTTTTGATTCTACGGAGAAACTATGGAGGTTAGTGTCCAAATGATTCAGTCCGTTTTGGTTCTTTTTAAGAACGTTTGCTGTTCTCTTCACTCTCCAGGCCCGGTTCAACCCGAACATGAGCAGCCATGTGTGGATTGGTTCCGCGGGTCAGACGGGCCTGGTGAGGCTCCACTGTGCCAGGACTTTCATCACCCCACAAGTCAAGAACCTAATCAGTAATCATCAGGCCCAGTTCAGCGCGCTGTACCGGGTCCAGAACCGCAGCGACGGCGACCAGACGGCGGCGGAGCAGCGAGAGCAGCACAGTTTACCTCACAGCGCGGCCACAAGGTGAAACGTTTCATCAACCAGCCCTGGATCCGCAGCAAAACATCAAATAAATCTGTTCTGGTTTTAAATGCATGTGTGAATGTTATGAATCAGTTTGCAAAAGGAATGAAACACCTGACTTTTATCTCAGAATTTAGTTTTTTTTCTCTCAGAATTCTGAATTTTGACTTTTCTCAGAATTCAAACTTGAATCTCAGAATTATAGAATTTCCTCAGAATTCTGTCTGTTTCTCAGAATTTTGACTTTTTTCTTGTAATTCTGACTTTTTGAAACATCTCAGAAGATTAACATCAAAATTCTGAGAAAACAAAAACTAAGAGTTTTCCATAATCCTCCCCCAAAGAAAGCAGATGAGCAGAAGTACAGAATTTAAAAGTCATGGCTGAAATCAAAGAATTTTAAACATTTTTCGGTGTTTTTTTTAAACCCACTCTTCACACAAACAGCAGAAATCATAAACTTAAAAAACAAAAAACAATCAGTCACGTCGACAAAGAGAGGTTTTTGTTGACAGTAATTCAGACGACGGTTTCAGTCAGTTTTGTTATAAAAACTTTGCAGCCTGCAGCTGAGTGCCTTTTGTTCAAGTTTTTTTTTTTAGCAAAAACATGTATTTTATTGGATTATTGCTTTTCCTCTGGTGTGTTATTATGGGATATGTGAATACCTTTATGTATTGTACAGAAACATCAACGTGAAAGTAGATTTTCACTTCCAGCTAATTTTATCTTGAGCCAAAAGCTCAGGCCTGGTGTTTGTTTTTTACAGATTTATTTTAATCTTAATTTATAATTATAAATATTTAAAGCTGTTCATCAATTCCTTTTCTACTTGTATTTTTGCAATGCTGCTTATAATAAAAGAGTTTTTTAAAATAAACTGACTAAAAAAAAGATTTTCTTCTCAAAAACAGCATTTTTTAAAAATCTCCAAACAGAAACAAAGCAGCCTCCGTTCATCATATCCACTGTTTTATTCCACTTTACAAAACTTTTTCTGCACATAAAAATGAAACGGCAAACTTCACAGTTATGACATGTTTTACGCCATTTCGCCAGATTTTATGAAGGTCGATTGTACAAGGAACAGAAAATTATTTACACATGTATGCACAAAATTATACACTGAAAATACGTTTTGACATATTTACAACACGCAGGCGGAGCATAATCGCCACAAACAGCAACAGGACAATAACAGACAGTAAACTTCCACAGCAAACAGACCCAAAGTGCTTTTTTCCTTCAATAGGAAACTTTTTCAGACAGTAAAGCTGCACCAGAACCTTCACTATGCATGGATATAAAACTTTTCAGACATCGGCATCTATGAAATCCAGTGTCATTTTTAATTCTTCATAGCTGTTTTGTACATATATACCATAATTTTGAAAAGAAAACAAATATACATCTATTTTTGAAAATAAAACGATGAATTGTAAAGATTTTATTCTTTAGTTTATCCTCCACATGTGCTGAAATATTCTGACTGGCAGTTGAACAGGAAAACCTCGGCATACTTCAATAACAGCGAACAATCATGCAAGCGTTTGCAGTGAAGGTCAACAAAATGGTCACAAGGTGCAACACTTGTGCGAAACATCAACATCTAATGGCTTACATTTAAATGGAAAGTGTTAGTGCAGATCATGAGTATTATGTAGGTATTTTGTTTTTTTTAAACAAACTGACAGTGGTGGGCACACTTATGCTAGCGCGCTAATTTTGATTAGCGCATTAGCTTCTACAAGGGCAAACTTAAACCTAATAAATGATTTGTGGTTTGTAATTGTCTTGAGGTTTAAAGAGTCTTGGAAACTGTTTTCATCCAATTTTCATGCAAATTTGGAGCAAAATTTTTAAATGTCACAAAAAAGAAAATGCTAGTTATGCATGTTTCCATCTTCTGCTTTGGTGTGAAACCAACAGTCCATGCTAAATTTAACGCTATGCATGTAATAAACAAGTTGTAGAGTTTGCAAACTAGCATAGGACGCACATCTCTGAAGGCCGCACATAATGGAGATCAGCAGTTTGAAATTTTTCCAAGTTTCATGCCTGGTACGACACAAACCCGCTGGGAGCTTTTGCCACATCAAAACCGACACAATAAATGAGTTTCTTTCTCTTCTTGAACACATTTCAAAAAACCCAAAAACCACCTCAAGCTAGCGTAAAAAGCTTTTTGCAAAATTACAGAAGCTACTTAGAATTTTGATGCTTTTATCAACTTTCGTCCGACGCGATACTTTAGGATGTTTTTTATAAATGTTGATGCAACAGTCCTGCCGAACAGTTTGACTTATACAATTCCTACTTCTGGGTCTATTTAGACTATTGTTGTGTCTTTGTGTTACAACAAACTAGTAAAAGTCTTTCAATTTTTAGCCACTCTAATAAAAATTTCACCGATAGTATCATTTTCTCTCCAGATCAAAACCACAGCATTAATCATTTCTCAGACTGAAAAATCCAGGAATCTTGGAGGAAGAAAAGGCGTCCAGAGTTCCCCATTCTGCTCCTCCTTCACAGAACCAATTACATATGAAGTGACAAACATAGTGAGCTCACAGGATGAAGGAGCATTTTGTAGATGGATGAATGCTGCAGCGATGAGAGATGACTCAGATGAATGTTGGTGTGAAGCTGAAACTAATCGTCCGTTTGCAGAACTAAATCATTTCTGCCCTCTGACCTCATGGTAGCCAACTGGATGCTACCAATGCGTATCAGGACAGAAACTAAGGAGGAGTTAAGTTTCTGTCCACAAAAACCCTCCAAAATTTGACAGAAAGAAACAAGAAAATTTCTCAGTTTGAAAAATTGAACATTTGCAAAAAGAAATCTTAAATCAGATTAATCTAAAAAAAAAATTGCAGAAAAAACAAGAAAATTTAAGTTTGAAAAGTCAAAAAATTCAACTTCTCAAATTCTGAAATTTTTCTAGAAAAAAATTCTAGAAAAATTTCTGATTTTTTTTCAGCAAATTTGAGTTTAATCAACCTTCTGGAGTTTTATTTCCATTTTTTATCTATCTGTGATGGATTTTTCTTCAGTTTTTATTTCTTTCCTCTATATTTCGATGAACTCCACAGTGCTAGTAAATATCAGGCTTCAGTGTTATTTTAAACTTAATTAATTGTCAAATTTGAACTAAATTGATTAAAAATTGCCACTAAAACAACCTGAATTAGATTGAAAAGCTACATTTCACTGGGGATCAAACTCTGAAGCCAAGCATTTTCAAATGTTATTTAAGGGAAATGTTAGACAAAAAAGACGTTTAGGAACAAAGAGAGGGATTTAGAGTAGGGATCGTCACGCAGAACCCTTGGCACTTGGACAGTAATGAATAGTTTATATAAAAATCTTTAATTTTTTTACACACATTCTGTGATGATTGCCCAAAAAACTATGCTCTTAGCAAAAACTGAGAACCAAGGACTGGTTCTGTGGTACCAGCTGTGCATAGATGCAAAGTTTCTTCCAATAGATAGTATTCACAGTGATTGATCTCAGGAAGGTATCTGTATTTATATGGTACCAACCACATCTATGCAATAAGCAGATTTAAACTTTTTTTCCTCATTAACAGAAACTTTGGAACCATTTTTGGTCACTGCCATCATAACGTCAAATGTAAACAAACATTTATGAGCTCTGAAATTGATTTTTGACTTTGCAAATTTTGTCCAATGTGCAGCAGAAAGCAGACAAAAACAGACATGAAGACATTATTGTTGGTAGATGACTGTCGGTGTTCAAACATCAAATTCATCCATGTGTAAATCATCAGATGCTCCATGCGATGAATAACGTTTCAGGTTCATCTTCTGGTTACGAGCTTATTTCACCAACAACTTTTCTGTTTCTAATTCTTTCTTTACTTTGCATAAAAAAATAACCTTTGGATTCAGCACTTTGTATGGCTTCTGTTGGAACTCTGTATGTAGATAACAAAATATCAGTGCAAACCGTCTTAAAGACATTTTTTACTGTGTTCTCCAAAATTTGAGAGCAGGTTTTACTAATGAACAAGCAGATCTACTGGGTTTTATTTTTCTGGAACAATAAAACCTTATTGCAATGATTCAAAGCAAAGGAAAAAAGTACGAGTGTCTCATCAAAGTCTGGAACTTAGTGGTACCTCCAACAATCTGGTGTATAAATATTATCAGGCAGTGGTTTCCATTGACGAGACGTTTGTGTCTGGACAGTTGGCAGTGGAAAAGTGACACTCATAAGAGCAACATAAAAGTTTCTATTTGATAACATACATTCTGTTTCTCAGCTTGCACTAAGAGGTTGTTTTTTTTATATATGTTTGCACTAAAAGCTGTAGATTCTTTACTTTAAATCGATGCATACAGCTGAGCTAGTTAAAATTATCCACCACTTTCTTTCTACTAATGGTTTTTCTTATGGGATATTTTGCTTTCTGTGTTTTATTATTAGTGTTTTTCAGTGGTGGGCACACTTATGCTAATTAACTAAAGCATTAATAATAGTTTTTTGTTTAGCTCTTTAGCATTTTAGATAACTTTGAAAACATTTAGCTCACTTAGTTTCTGCTGAATAATTTTCTGGGGATAAATTCTAAAGCACTAATTTAGTTTTGTAAACTTTCAGTTGAATAATGTTTGACATGTGTTTAAGTTTTGGGTTAGTTTAGTTAGTGAGTGAAAACTTTTTACGCAGCAGTTAAGTTTAGCGTTTCCTCATTAGCTTCTGCATAGCTGAACCAGTGCTGCAGGTTTAGGTTTTATTTTTAGTTAGCTGTGTTCTCCACTGTCTGTTTGTGAAATTGTTTTTTAATGAGGTGAAAAGCAAATGTGAAGCTCTAAACTTGAGGACTGACCGATAGCATGGAGCCCCATCTGCATGTTTTACCAACACATGGATGAGTTTGCTGTCTAAGTTTTTGTAACTTTCTGTCCAACACATTGATCTGCCAAAAAAGCTGATTTGACTCCTTCACCAGGAAGCTGCAGGATGAATGTGGCACAACTGTCAGCAGTGAAGCCCGACCTGTGGAAAATGTTGTGAGTGTGTCTCTGAGTGGGTCCGTTTGGGTCCAGCTGAATGGGGTCTGCAGGTCAGTCCCTGGGGTCCTGGCAGTGGGAGCAGTGGCTCATCTCTTCAGAGTGAAGCTCCACCTGGACGGTGATGTTCCGGAAACCAAACTTGTTGCAGAGCAGCTCTGTGGCCTCCTGGAGCACCGACTGCGTGTCGGCGCCTTCCTCTGATGGAGAAACGGAGGCAGTGAGAATATTTTACTGTGACAGTGTATTAGGTACATTGTAGATAGAAAAAAAGAACAGTTCCACCAGAAAAAAATCTGAAATTCATCTCAGAAATTTTCTAGAAAAAGCAAAGAAATTTCTGAGTTTCAAACGTCAAAATTTTGTAATTTTTAACTTTTGAAAATTTTTTAAAAATTCCAAAAGTCAAAACTTTCTGATTTTTGAAACTTTGTTTTTTCTAGAAAATGTTCTGAAATTAATATAAAAATTTACTCCTCCATTTTATGCAATGGCCCCAATATGCCGTCGTAACAAAAAGTCACATAAATAGTCAAACAAGTGCAAAAATCACAAAAGCAATCATAATATTCTGGAGTAACTGATTAGTGTGAAGAGATACTCAATATTATTTAATTTTAAGGAATGATTTCTGAGATTAATCTCAAAGTTTCAGATATTTTCAGCTTTTGAAGCTCAGATATTTTCTTGTTTGTCCTCAAATGTGAACCTATTTGTCTATTTGCAGTGGCTCTCATCCGCCGTTGCATCAATGATGTGCATGTATTTTGTGTCAGAAGTGTGTTAAAAATAACAAGTTTTTGATGAATCCCAATATTCCCAACCCGTTAAATTTGTATTTCTCTCCTTTTAGTTTTGTTTGTTCTGCGTCTGCTACCTATTGCCAGGTGAACAGAAACCAGCGACTGTCCCAGAGTCAGAGCCCACAGGTGTAAAGAGTGAACAGACTTCACAGCTTTCACAGTCAGCAGCACTTCCTTCACAGAGTTGAACTCGATTCCTTTAGGCGATCCTGGAAAACAGCAGATTCCTAATTACTGCATAGAACAAGCTGCAGTTCACAGGCTGTGTAAGATTTGTTTTTTTAATTGTTGCCTTTGACTGCAGCTCCATCAGCATGTTCTTGTTCAGAATCAACTGTTAGATTATCTTAAGGTTTAGCGGCGTGTGAAGACATTTCCAGTCTAACTGCTTCCTCAGGATATGACCATCTGCTGTGGCTTTGTCCTACATAAACGTGCAGCACTAACTGGTTGATGCTGCTTCGCTCTTAGTTTCTTTAATATTCTTTTATAATGTCAATACTGAGGACGCAAACACAGGAAATAATGATCGAATACGCTTAATTAAAATAGATTTTAATGAGTAGAACTGAGGAAGAGATTACTGATAAATAACAGGAAGATGGACAGAAATCAAACTTAAAAGCCTTGAATTACCAGAAATACAAATAGAAACAAGATTTTTTCAAAATTAATAACTTTTTCTTTTGCTTTGTCTTAATTTATTGTGTTTAGTTGTGTGAGAAAATACATCTTAGGATTTTTAAAGGCTTTACAAAAATGTGGCAGGTACTTAGTCAGGTGGTCTCCTAATTCAAAAGTGAAACTGTCTCGTAACATGTTCCTGTACCTTCCATGAGTATCCTGAAGACATCTCTGAGGATGGTGAGGGTGGTGAAAAGGACGAAGATGGAGAACAGGAATGTACAGATGGGATCTGCAACTTTATATTCTGGCTGAGAGGAAAAGGGAAAACACATCAGATGGCGTTTAGATATTAACAGGCTGAAGGCAAGAAAAGAAAAACAAACGCTGAGCTCTGAGGGTTTTTCATGCTGTTTTCTTGGCCCATAACATCTCATTTGTCTCAGTACTGTACATCTTCTGCACAATATTAACTTTTAATGCATGAAACTTCAGTTTAAATCACGTTTTGAAGAGCCGACAGGATCAAACTGACGTTTCAGTCTCACTCTAACAAGAATCTATATCTGACCCGAAAGTAGATGATGGTCGCTGCCACCGTGACGCCGATGCTCTGCAGCAGGTCGCCGAGAACGTGGATGAACGCGGCGCGGACGCTCGTGTTGTCGTGGCTACCGAGGAGCGTGTGGGCGTGGCCATGACTGACGGGGCTCTGGCCGTCCTCGTCAATCTGCTGGTATCCTCTGCCATGAGGGTGGAGCGTGGTGGAGTGGTGAAGGATGTAGGCCATGCTGCAGAACCACAGAACAACCTCATTTCTGATTCGCTTCATTACTTTGCAGTGAAGAGATGTGGGGAACAAAAGGCTATTTAGTCCCACAGTTGGGTTGGAACGAGTTACATTTACCTCATTGAATTCACTTTGGTAACTTTTGTGAAAAGTTACCAACTTTTCAAGAAACTGGAAACTTTTATGTAGTGAAAAATTACATGATTCAATCAGTAATTGGACAGTAATCCATCATACTAATTGGATAGTAATTGGATAACTATCCAATAAATATTCAGAAATACTTATTGGAATATTATAGTTCCATAGACATTGTACTAAATAACTATGATGCTGATATATATAATCCTCATTAACACATCTTCCTTCAAAATTTGAATATCTGTCTTGAAAAATGCAGAAGAAGATGAAACAAACTGGATGGGTTTATTTTAAAAATACAGTGATCTTCCAAATTATGATAAAATATAATGAAAAATATGAAATGGTTTGTATTTTATGTTATTTTTATGAGATTTTTTTTTATATTAAAATGTCCTGAAGATAGTCTGTTTTGTTGAAATTGTATAAATTATTACTTAAATAAACAATAACTTAAACAAAAATGTACAAACTCAATTGCTTCCTATTAATCATTTGGCTGCAGACAGACAAAAAAATGAATTTTGTTCAAGTTTTTAAAAAAATATATTTAGCATAAAGCTATTAAACAACCAAGTGCTTACATAATATTTACAATGACGGCGAATCCAGAAGTGATCAGCATTACATGGCCCTCGATCTCATAGTCGTTGCGTACAATCCTTTCGATGGCTAAGTAGACGAGCACTCCTGTCACGATCCAGATGGACATGACGGAGATGAACGCTCCCAGGATCTCTGAGGAGAGCAGAACCAGGAACCGATCACTTCACTGCACAAAAACCCAAAACTTTACAGATCAACAAGCTTCTGCCTCACATGGAAAAGCTGGAATATAATTAATTTAAATGTGACCTGTTACGCTTCTTTCAACAGGAACTCAACACGTTTAAAATGGCTGCAAACAGATAAAATCATACATCTTTGAAAAGCAGAAAAGGAGCCTCCTGCACAACCAACAGGAATGCAGCGAGTTATTTCTGGTTGGTAAGACAACAACAACACTTTTACAGCTTCCATTGTTCAGCAAATTCAGCTGCATGGAAGGGCAGGTCCAGAAGTGCCTCATTTCCCAGACTCTAAAAATATTAAAATATTAAGTTATGGCCAAAACAATGTTTTCAGAAGCAATAGAGACACAAATGAGCAAAATCTGAATTTTGCATATTTTGCAAAATGTACAAAGTGAGTTTCAAAGTTCAAGAATATCAACTGTATTTATTCTTACAATAATATCTAAAGCAGCACTTAATCTTAGGTCGTATTTTTTGCTTCCACTCTTTATTCTTATCACAAAATCATCATCATCATCATCATCATCATCTCCATTTCCAATTATTTATTTTTCTTTTAGCAGCTATTAAAGATTATTCTGACCTGATCTGTGCCAGCCAAAGGTCATGGTTTTGGTGGGCGGTCTGGAGGAGATCCACAGGGAGAACAGGCTCACCATCATGCTCCCAAAGTCGGTGAGGAGGTGGGCGGCATCGGTCATGATGGCCAGGCTGTGAGCCAGGTAACCTCCTGTTTGAGACAAACTCAGCCTGTAGACAGAATCCTCTGAGTGATAAACTCAACCTTAAACAACGGCTTTCTTTGGTGATTAAACATGCAGTTTAAGAGCTTCATAGCTAGGATGTAGCTTTGGGTTTTACTCTTTCATTGCAAGTCATTTTGAATGTTTCAGCAGTCAGCAAAGGAATGTCAGCCAATTTACACACTTAACAACAAAGTTAACTTTTTACAGTATGCTGCATAACCTTTTTTCTCATTTTGTCACACAATATGTGCATACGTTTAGATCATATTATTAAAATGTGTGTGCTTATACAGAATTTAATCCACTGAACAGTTTGTGCACATAATAAAGACGATCGGAAACCATTTCCTTTTGTAAATTAAACTCGTATTCCCAGGCGTGCAGCCAGATTATGGCATGAATTTGATGCATCCGTAAAAACATTTTGTGTCTTATTTTACAGAGAAAGTGCTATTTCCAGTCATATTCAATGACACTTCATCCTGTTTAGTTGTGCAACACTGACACACATAGAAACACACAAAAACAGCCACAGCCAGCTGTAATTGAAACAACACCAGGTCTAATCAAATTTCAGATGGAGCAAAACCAGGAAACCAGTGAAGCTCAACCAATTACCTGTCTGTCAGGACAAGATTACAAAGATCCAAACAAAGATCATGAAGCAGCAAAGTGTTTCTGGACTCCAGCAGCCTGTACTGCCCTGGGTTTCCACTGGGGAGGCTGTCAGGACCAATCAAGCTTTCAGGGAAAGAAGATTTTCTTCTGCTGTGTTTTTATTGGAGAAGTACCTCCACTATTTGGGAGCTAGTAAAGAAGTGAAGTCTGATTCTTTTTCACTAAGAAGAAAATGAATTAAAGTAAACCTATAAAAGGTGTGTTTTTTTGTATAAATAAGTCTTTAAAGCAAAATAAGATCTTAAAAGTTATTATATACATCATTATTTGGACACTGAAATGATTTCATTTTCAAGAAGTGACTTCTTTAGAAATATGTTTTATGTTTTTAAATATGCCTTAACTTAAATTAAAAAGTTGCATTTGGACACCAAATTTGCTACAAGTTCATCAAAATCTTTCAGTAGTTTCTGAAAAGGTAAACGTTTTACCGATGACCTCTCCAATCATGAAGACGAGGCAGACTGCAGAAGCGATGTAGAGTTTCTTCTTGGCTAGCTGCTTGTCACCGCTTTCCTCGCCAACCAGAGTTTTGGGTAAATGGCAGTGTGCACCAACGTGCCGCTTCAGCTCCATAGCACCGGACATTCCTCCGTTTTTTAACGGGAAGTCTTGGTAGTGCTCTTTGGAGTCTGCAAAGGAGCTAAAAGGATGCAGAATCAGTCAAAGATGTTTGTCTGTATGTTTTTGATTTTAGAAAAGGTTTGGAAAACATCATTTTATACCAACTGGGGTTATAATGTGTTTGTGTTGTAATGGCTGCAAATCTACTGTGTGCTGGTGTCGACACCATTGATTTTCTTGAGTAAATGTTGCAGCAGACAGGAGTATCATTTAGAAGAGCTACAATGGATTTCAAACTGGAAACCTGACAGAATCTTCTGCAATCAATGTTTCCTCAGATGGATGAATGGTGAGTGCAGCTATTCAGGGAGGAAACGGCTCAAATCGACTGATGTTGGCCTTGAATTGTAGCAAAGTTTGTTTGCACAGTTTGTTTTTCTGAATAAAATTAACACACACTCAAGAAATTAATTTTACCAAGCTGGGAATACATTTAAGACCAATTGAAAAGAAAAAAAATCTGCAGGCAGCAAATCTGCAGGCAGCAAACATTCAAATGAATTCACATTTATTCCAGTTAGATTATGTTGCAAAGTTGGTAAACAATATTTTTTTTAAATTAAGCTTCTTTACAAACAAATATCTGAAAAGTGTGGCTTACGTGTCACATTGCATTGATACTTCTGAATAAAATCTAATGCAATCAACTCCATTCAGCTGAGATTAACATCTGAATTACAAGAGAACAAGTCACAATTCTGAGATTAACCTCATATATATACAGATACATATATATATATATATATATATATATATATATATATATATATATATATATATATATATATATATATATATATATATATATATATATATATATATATATATATATATATATATATATATATATATATTTACACACACACACACACACACACACACACACACACACACTCCTCTGTCGCACACACACACGCTGGTTACTGGTCCTACCAAGTGCAGTGATGGGGGTGCAATGATGTTGCTAATGAGGTGGAAAAAAACTAATTTGGACTGACTTGAGATAACCACACACACACTTTAATTGACACACTCCACGTTATCAGTGCAAGCTTTGCACTATTTCCCTTTATCACACACACACTCCTATCAGGCGATGTCCTGAATGAAAAGAACTAGTCAAGCAGAAAACAGATTCTGTTCAATTACACCCACGGGACAAGAAAACACACACTCCATAAACACACTGAGCTCCACTTGATAGGATGTTGGATTTATTTAAATTATTTTTTACATATGGATGATTTTTCAAGCACATATTACTCTGTTCTGCAAATCTGCTTTGAGAGAAATGTGATCTAATTAGCATGCTTATCTTCCTGCACAGTTATTGTTTTATTTAAAGAGCCAGAGTCTTTTATGGTTATTTATACGCCTGGCAGATTCTGGTTTAAATTAATATTTTAATTTTACAACATGCCACTTCTGACTGGCAGTAATGTTAGTATTTTTCAGCAGTCCAACCAGAGTCCTGACTCTAAGCGATTAGAAAAGCATGACTTGTAGCTAAAGATTAGGGGAATGGCGTGGAGTCACCTTCACATCTTTAAAATACCAGAGGAAATTTAATTTTAGAAAGGTTTAAATGCTGTGGAAAGTGTTTTCACATCAATAAATTAAATCATAACTTGAAAACTTTTTTGTATTTTCTATTTAGACTATTTATCTTATTTTAAATTCTGCTTGTTGATCTGACATATTCAGTCAAAAACAGAGGAGGGTAAATTCTTTTCTATGGAGCTACTGTTGTGTCGCTGCATAACTTGCACTTTGGTATTTTGCAGCTGCAGTGGGCAGCACTGGTAAAGCCTGCAGGTATCTGCAGAGTGGTCAGAACCTCAGAGGGAATTCATCTTTTTTCACATCCAGGAAGCAGAGAAAAGGCCTGTTCGACTGTTTAATGGTTTTACGTCTTTTCAGAGGCACATTTAGGTAAACTGAAGTGTTTTAGGTGTCAAATATTGTTAGTTTTTGTCTCAAATCATTTGGAGATTAGATGAATAAATATTAACCAAAAGATTAACAGTATATATGGTCAGCAGTGGTTTTGTGCAACAGCTTCTCTCTAAATACTAGAATCAAAAACATTCTTTAAAACACAACAAACTGAACGTAGATTTGTAGCTTTACTCACAGGTTAATAACCTTTTGAATTAAGTCAAATTACAAATTTAAATTAGTTGACTTGAGTTGGGATTGGATTGCACTGAATAGATATTACTAGACAGTGGGAAGATCAATCCAGAATATTGATAACACTGGTATCAGTATCGGATGGATGCTAAGAGAAAAACTTTAGTTTGCATTTTGTTTATTTAGAAAACACAAATAATGTTAAGATGTCATTAAAGTATTTTGTAGACACTTAGAAACTTTGACCAAATTTTCTCTCAGCTATGAACAAAATAATAGAAAAAAAAAAACACAAAAACACCTGAAGGTCAGAAGTTTGATGGTAATAAAAAATATCAGCTTTAGCGATACATGAACTGCAGATACTTGGTATCAGATGGATACTAAAATATGCAGTATTGATTAAATGAAATAAAGTTATCAGAATAATCACATAAAAACTCAGGTGCTTAAAGACAGAAAAGATATAAAGTACCAAGACTTGGATGTTTTATCATCTTTCTCTGTTTATGTAGCAAAAAGTATCAGGGAAAATGCAATCAGTCTATAATCATAATAAATTTTATATTTATCTGCTACTCTGTAATCTTTAGGTGTTTGTTGACTTTTTTCAGTCATTCAGAAACAGAATCCATTGATCTGTGTAATAAAATGAAACCTCAGATGTAAATAATAATGATGGTGATTAAAGTTTAAACAGCAGCTGTAACTGGATATGAGAATCTTTCTGCTACTGATTGCACCTCTATGAATTCACACTTGATGCTTGATATGTTTTAAGATGTGTTTTAGTTTCTAGTGTTGGTTTTGGTTTTCAGCCCCAGCAAAGCTTTGCTTTATTTTACCGGAAGCAGAAGTTTTAACTTTGGGCATTTAAACATTTTGAGCTGCTAAGTTTTGCTTTGCTCCAGTCTGCATTATTAACACTTCTCTAGACTTTCTCTGAAGTGAAGTGCATCATGAAACCTTTGTTGGGTTTGGACAATAAGTTCTGCTCCAAAATTAACACAAAGTCGAATAAAAGGCAAAATGCAAACCAAAAAAATACATATTTGGCAACACAAATGCTAACCCTGTTTTATTTTTGGTTGCTGGTTGTTAAAAACTGAACCTTCTGATAATCATTGGTTCTTTTACTTTGGTTTCTTTTACATTTCATGTTAATAAATTAATTTACATGGACAAATTAGAGTCTACAACAACAACCTGTAATTCTCTTAATTTCATATTCTGAATAATTTCATCTACAGAAGGCCCAGGAAATTTACAGATGGTGTTAATTGGAACTCATGTTTTCCTATCAGACTTATTTACAGAAAAACACAAAGTTTTTCTGTCCTTCTTACATAATAATAAGAATTTACATATTTTTGACTTTTGGGCGACTAGTCAGACAAAGCAAGGGGTCAGACCTCACTTATGCCACATAAACTTCCAATTCTCAAAAGATTTATACTGTAACACATCTTATATTAAGAAAAAAGTCAACATGTTCCTTTTTTCTTCAGTGGCAAAATAATGTCTGACATTTTTTAATTTTTCCAGCTTTTAGAGCTGGAAAAATGGTGATTATGACCATTGGTTGATCTAAATGAGCACTATCAGAAGGCAAAATGTTTTAGCAAAAAATGAGCCAGTTCACAATGTTTTCATAAATATAAGTGACTGAATCATTTTGAAAACATTTTGCAGGGGCTAAAATTGGATGTGCTAATTCATAATCTCATCTGTTTTTGGCTCAAATATGTTTTTTTTTTTTGTTTGTTTGTTTAATCAGACGTAAATTTGATCCTCCCACCATAACAATATTTCTAATAAAACTCTGGATTTGGTTTAGTTGTGCCACCTTAAAGTTGTTAGTGCCCCTCTGACCCTTTAAATGCCTCTCTAGAAACGCCCCTGCTAAAACCTTCAAGGTTTTTCACATCTCTGATTCCTGATCAGTTTGTGGCCATAATCTGGAAATGATGCAACAAAAATTATAATAGTTTCCTGTTCTACAAACTGGGCCTTGATTTAATAACTTGATTAAAATTTTCCTTTACAATTTTTGTCCTTATTTTCTGATATTTCCAGCATTTTCTTAATATCATGAGCATAATTCAGACTCAAATGTTATGTTTGTTTTCGAAATAGGACAACTGACATGCATTTCCACATCTTTTTTTTTTTTTTTTTTTATTGGTATTTAAGAATCACTACCAATAAAAGCCAAATCTTTAACTTATTGAAGTGTGTATTTCAGTCCCATGAACCTTTTTCACCTAACTGAACAAAAACTACAAACGATGACTCGGTAAAGGCGCATGCAAGCGCGCACGAATGGCGCAAATGGTGCGTGAAATTCCAAACGCGGCGCCATATGCTCGACTGTCTCTGCACCTCTGCGTGATGTGGACAAACAAGAGTTGATTCCTCTGCGGGCCTCAGGGCTTGCAGAAAAAAAAACTAAGGGTCTCCTTGTATTATTATTTTTCTTAGGATTACTCAGTTTGTTTTGGGGAAATAAATAAAGTTAACCACAACATGAAATAACTTAGCAGGATTTACTTCCAACAAAAATAAACATTTATTGATCAGATGATGGAAACGGACTCAAGATGAAGCCTGTAAGGAAAAGTCATCGAAATTTGTGTTTAACATTCAAAGATAAACATATTTAAATTAAAATCCCCAGAATATTCTGCAGTTATGTAAAATTATAGGCCAGACTTTCATTTTGCGCAGAACAAATCTGACGCTTCTCATCTTCAAAATCAATCATTCAGTTTCTCCCGCCTCTTTATTTCTTTGTATCTTTACATCTTAAGCAAAGTGTGGATTTGCTTGATGAGACCCCCTCCTGCAGTTCGGCTGACATCCGGTTCCGGACGTGCACGGATCCGCCGCATGCAGCGCGCGCCTCTCTAACGACAGATGATGAGTTTTTAGCGCTGCTCAGTGAACTGGCCCCGGGGCCATTTGTCACAGGCTGTCCAGAAACAACTCGAGCATGGAAATGAATTTGCTCATTCACATAAAACAGCCCGCGTCAGCCATGCTGAACATGCAGCACAGTTTATGCGCACCGCGCGTTACGCCCAGGCTGCGGGACATTTCCGTACCACGCGCGTGGATTTGGATGAAGTTGTTTTTTTTTCTTTTTATGTCAAATAATTAATTCACCATGTCTCACATTTTAAGCAAATGTTTTTCAATAAAATGCGTGTGAAATTGTAAATCATTCTGTGGAAACTCAGTTATTGTCTCACCTTTGTAATTTTAAGGAATACATCTTCGCGCTCTTCTCGTCTATCAGATGGGATTTCTCTGAATTAGTCGGAGTATTATCCATTTTTCTAAGTTCAGATTTATGTTTTTTAATGTAAAAATATTTCTTCCTCCTCCTTAGACGAGAATCCGATTTCCCCCGAGTTTCAGTCGACGCAGAAAGTCAGCCAACACCTCATGTTCTGGGGTCTGCAAGTCTTCAGGACAAATCCGTAAATTCCTTCATTGCAGCGCTGAAGCACAAGAGAAAACAAATGTTTTGCTTTTTGTGAGTTTTTTATCTCCTTTTAAAAAAAATCTTGCAGGACTTGTAGGCTGTGGAGAAAAGGCTGCAGCAGGACTGAGGAGTGATGCTGCAGCTGCTGCTGTTCCTGCAGAGCCCGACTGATCACAGGACACCTGAAGTTAATGGGACAGGCGTCAGCACGCGCGAGCGTCACTTTTCCACTATGATTGGACAAAAACACATCAGATCTACATTCAAAATGTTTATTTAACAAATTCCTCAAATTGTACACTTAATTCAAGAAAACATAACTTACATTTATATCTATTGTTCCATTAAATGCACGTCATGCTGCAGAAACTTAACCCTTTCTGTGTTTAACCCCGATTATATGAAAACATAGTATGTTTTCAATTTCAGTTCCATCGAAAATAATTGATTTGTGTGTATGAAATTATTATTGCATTGCATGAATAAAAACATTTGACCAAATGTTTTTATGCCTTCTTGTCGATCCTCTTCTTACCGTTGATTTCCTGATCAGTCATCAATTAGTCTTAATCTCACTCAAAGTCCTTCTTACCCAATCAAAAATTAATTTAGACCTATAATAAAATGATTCAGGCCGCATTATCATACAATAAACTACAATCTAAACCGGTGTTTTTCAAAGTGAGGGCCGCGGCCTCCTGGAGGAACACCAGGGAGCGCTGTAGTTAAAATATTTGATAGAAATGTTATTTCTGATGACCATTTATTGATTGGTAGTCAATCAATTTCATCAAGTTGCTTTGCTCTTCAAGCAAGTAAGTGAGAAACTGAAAAGTTTCTGACAAGAAAAAGACCAAAAGAATTGGGAAAAAAGCATACGAACTGTGGGAATAAATACATTTTGTATTATGAAGATAACAATTTTTATGGCAGACCACAATTTTATTTTAAATCAGATTTTGTTCTTCTTTTTCCAGCCCATCAATTATGGAGCCTGGATAGTATTAATTTGCTTAACACTTCCATAAATTGAGTGATATTAAGCTTAGACCTAATTAATATGTAAACCTGAGTGAACTGCTGTGTTGTATGTTCTTTATTAATGAAGCTGATTTGATGTAACATCAAGTCCAGGTGGTACAAATATATAAAACTCCCATTAACCTCTCATACATTTTTATTTCTTGAACAATATCAAAATGATGCAAGTTGTCATTTTGATGAGGATGACTGCCATAACTTAAATTTACGAAATAAAGAGATATATGACGGTTATTTGTCATATATTGCAATGGTTTGCCTTACATCCATTATTAACATTTCTGTCGCATAATGAATGTAGTTTACAAAATAAATGTGGCGGGAAGTCTTTTGTTGAAAAACCCTTTAAAAGACATTTTTATTATTGTAGTTATTAAAGTAAAGCCTTCATAATTCAATGAGAGTAATGTGTTTCATTCTTACAGCTGAGGTAAAGTTACCGACGTTCTCCCACTTCCATAAACGCAACATCACTTTATGTCTTCTGACGTCATCACGCAGCCAGTGTTTGGTTTCCGCGCCGAGCCGTTATGGCAGCAGCGACTATCCTCGACAGTAAGCAGGGCGAGCAGCCGACAGATGGGGGAGATGACGCGGATAGGTCGATGTTGAGGACCGACAGGTGAGAAAACCCTGTCGGGAGGATGGCGTGCCTGCTGCGGCTGCCGGATCCCTGAACGGATCGTTTTTATCCTGCTAACGCAGCTAGCCGGCTAGCTGTCCTCCTCCGTCAGAGCCACGCATTGTATCAGCGTGGCTGCTGGGAGAACAAAAGAGGAAAAAAACAACACATTTAATATCAAATATTCAGTGAGGACGTGTTGAATTAAAAAAATATTTTATTATTTTGATGAATTAGTTCAAATTCTTGTCCGTTGCAGAATAAATGCTCTCTGTGCGTGGCTGCAGTTTAAGTTTTAAAATTAACATTTCATTCAATTTCTCTTCCAGAAAAAATATTTTGCTTCATCTTTCAAAAAGTTGAAGGTTTTTTGGTGATATTGTCACAAATAGATGTTGATGTTCTTCTATTGTGGTCATGTTTATTAATTCACTCCACTGAAAGAGAGCAGAGCAGCAAAGAACTTATTATTTACAAAATCATCAGCACCACATTTATTGAAACCCTTAATGATTCCTGGAAAATCAATGTAATTGACAGTTTTGAGGGTCATGCTCCCTTTAAGCTAATCAGATGATTTTTGAACTTTTTCTTATTAATTTGAGTTCCTGTGTTTTTTAGCCACTCTTTAAATTGTTGGGCAAAATATCTTTCAAGGTTCTGTGAAAAAGTATTTACCTTCCTACCTTTTTGTTTTAGATCAACTAAATTATAATCAGACAAAGGTGACTTGTGTAAATATGAAAAACCATTGATTATGTCCTCCATTAGAGTAGACCTGGACATTATGGCTGAATTAAAGCATTTCATGAGTCAATATATTGATATTTATTGATTAGTATTTTTGTTTCAAATATTTGAAATGTTGCCAAACTGGGAGTGCAACCTTTTCTTTTTTATCTACAGATGTCTCTCTTTTAAATAGTTATGGTTTCACAGTGAACTTGAAACTGCTGCTGCACAAGTTACTCTGCAGGTTGTTGCTAGGTAACCAAAGATTGTGTGAGTTGGCTAGCTTAGCTCAGTGGGAGAAGTTGAGAAGGTAAATCATTTCCTCTGCTTACATCTCCCAGAATGCTGTGGGGTTCTGGAGCGGAGTTCATATATTCCATATATAGATTATTATATCAGATGCATTATTGATATTGACCACATGACTACATATTAGGAGTGATATTGCTTCTGTCCTACCAATCCAAATATAAACACTGGGACTTTAATTGGAAACATGTGCCTTAGTTTTGCTTGTTTCTCTTCCAAATAGAGAAACTTTTAGCTGAGCGTTGGTGAGATAATGTTACACAAACCGAGCCAAATGATGACAGCCTTACTCATGTGAATGGTGGTCTCCCCACTTGATGTCACGCTGTTTCCTGGGTAAAGGTGTGTTTTCCTGGGGAGGATCGGCAAGTTCTCCCTTCCTCTCCCTCAGTCACACCGATATCAAAGGTCCGACTGCAGAGAGTCCTCATGGAGACACTCCAGTGAAAATGTTTCTTCCTTCCTCTCTGCAGAACAACAATTTATGTGCAAGTCCACAATTTCACAATTTTGTAGAATCAGATGAACCTGCATGTATATTGTAATACTTGAAATACCTGTGAAGGAGCAGCAGGGGGTCACATATGAACCAAAAAGGCATCTCTGATGGCAAAAACATCCCATCCACCTTGATGAACCGTACAACCACCGATAACGTTTTGTCGAGCTGTCTGCTTATTGATGCCTCTCCCTCTAAATGCAGCGGGAGCGGAGAAGATTCCATGGACGGTCTCTCCAACCGGATCCCCTGCTGTCCGCTGACGCCGTCGCTGTCTCCACGGAAACGGACCACCAGCCAGTCCAAGACGGAGCCTCCGCTGCTGAGGACCAACAAGAGGACCATCTACACCGCCGGCAGACCACCGTGGTACAACGTCACCGGGACCACCTTCAAAGAGGCCTTCGTCATCGGTGAGGAGAACAAACGGCGTCTTAAACCAGAGTTCTCCTGGTGGTTGCATCGTCACCAAAAACCCATTTAAACGTGTTTAAAATTAATAACTGACCCAAATATTTAGTACTTATAAACTACAATCTATGCACCAAACCGATCTTAATATCTGATCGGATATCAAATTTATTTATTTCTATGCTTTGTGCTGTTAGAGCCTCATGTTTAATTATTCATTTTATAGTATATTTAAAATTTCTCATTGCACTTTCTGAGCCATTTGAAATAAGGTTTGTTGCAGTTTTTTACGTTTTACTGTAAATAAAAAACAAGGTTTTATCATTTTTTCATATTTCACTGCTAATTGCACTGATGATTAATCATAAATTAGTTATGATTATTTAAATAATCGATTCATCACGATTAATTTGATTAATTATTTTAGCCCTAGGAGGAAGTTACCCTCATGTCTTCTTGAGAAGTTTTTGTGTTGTTTCCTTCAGTGGTTCTTGGTGCAGCGCCCCCACAGGCGAGGAGGAGAACAGGTTTTTGAACGATTTGGTTTGTCACAGTTCAGTGTGAAAGCGAACCACAGTAAAAATGCAACATGTCAGGTGTGAAAACAACCTACGATTATTGAGGTTGATAAAACCTCAACATCTCAGTTTTTATTTTCCTCACAGGTGTCAAACTCCAGAGCTTTAGGGCCAGTGTTCTGCTTAAACCACATAAATTTCTCAATAAAAGAAATATTGAGTTTCAGAATAAGTAAACTGAAAAAATAATAACGTTAAAGGGAAAAACTATATTTCTGTCATGCTCAAAGCTTTTTTTCTACAGCTGTAAGTTTAGCAAACTGTAATTTACTGATCTGCACAGTAAAATATCCGAGTCAGCGAGCGTCCCAGCAGCTGTGGAGTGGGCTCCAGGTGTGCGTGTTTGACATCCAGGGAGCGCCGTAGCGTGAATAAACTCATCGGACCGGCGGGAAGGAGAGGTGGACGTTCTCTTCAGTCTGCAATCTGTTATCGCCAATGGAGCGTAGTGACTGGTCCCAATTTCACACACGACTGGAAGGAGCAGCAGAAACTGGTCAGACCCGCATGGAAAAAGTTATAGTAAAATTTGGTGCAAGACGGAGAGGGGAGCGAAAGAGGAAAAGAATTACGACAAACAATATAAACAGGAAGAAAATAAAAGAAATGGAAATGAAAGGAGGTAAAACCCTGTGTCTGCCATCTTTTTTTAACAGTTGGGTTTTTATTGCTAATAGAAAACAGGGTTTGTTGTGTTGCAGCAGAGCAGCTTTCACAGCTGGGTGACTTTAAAACATGTTTAGGTGAAATAAAAAGAAAAAGTGTTTCTATAACATCCCCACAGATGTACTTAAAAACAGCTGTAGAAATCTGTTTAATTTTAACTTTAATTTTCTTTGTCAAAAAGCCAAATTTTGACTGATTTGTAACAGCAATAAAAAGGATGAAGCATCAGAGGGGTTGA